AATATGTTTGTTATAACCCCCCCCCCCCCCCCCCCTTCCGGCGTGTGGTCAAGCAGCAGGGCGTTGCGCGACCACGACCGTCGCGCGCGCAAGTACCTAGGTACGTCAGACTACCGCTCCAGTCTTCTTAAACAGTGCCAATCTCCATGCGCGTATCGCACCTTGTTCGTCGTAAGAACGATAGCGACACCCTTAGGCATCACCGCGTCAACGTGGAAGCAAGAGGATATCGGAACTATTTTTGCGATCGGTGTAGGTGGGCAACAGGATACCTTTCTGCACCCGCCATTGTGGTCGCCCCAAGTCCCTTACAGAACATGCACTTCCCTCCGCGCAACTACAGCGCGCGTAATCACGAAGTATCAAAGCAGACTTGACGCCAGGTATCATTGGTTGGTTCTCGCGACTATAGTGAGCAGCCACTTCACTCTTTAGATGGCTCTCCCTCCATAATCGTGGGTAAGCCTTTCCAAGATGCGGCGATCTGTAGATGATGAGCAGTCGCCCCGCGTCAGTTTCAGCCTTACGCGTTGATTTGGCCCCCACACTTATTCTACATAGCCTCCACCATCTCACAAGATGGCGGAGCTAAGGCAGTGGCTATTTAGGTCTTTCAGACATAACGATCTAAAAGTCCCCAGCTTCCTATCTTCATCCTCCCAGTTTTTGCACTCTCGTTAGTGTTTGTACAATCATGGGCAGGCTAAACCGTTGCTTCCCGAAGCTCCTCCCCACGCTAACCGGATGGAGGAGACTAGCCATCCTGAACATCGGCGCGATGACCCTCCTAACACTATTACTATGCGGCTTCACCGTGGCTTCGATTCTCAAAACGGACCTCTCACGAATAAACAAACCGAATCACGGTGGGCCTGAGACCAACCGAGCGGCCGTGGTGCGCAACACCTTCCTGTTCCACAGATCGCAGTGCAGTGTATCGAGATCGGGTTACTCGACATCGGATGTTATCAACATGATCCTCCACCTACTCGTCAACGGCATATCCAGTGCGGTCCTCGCGTCGTCCAGTTTCTTCTCGCAGGTACTCAGCTCGCCAACCCGTGCAGAAGTGGATGTTTCGCACGCGCAGGGAAGGTCAGTCGACGTTGGAGTGCTATCATGGCGGAACGCAACACGTTTGTCCCCTTCCAAAACGGTGGCTTGGGTCACCTTGTTGATCACGTCGCTGCCTCTGCATCTGCTCTTCAACAGTGCCATATTGCAGTCACGAGACGGTGACACCTGTGAAGTGGGCATATCGAACCCTCTTCTCTTGGCCGTTACGCTAGCTTGTTTGGTCAAGGTGGTCATCTGCGTGATAACCGTCTTAGTTCTAGGTTTTCAGGAGCCCCTGGTCACACCCGGAGACGCATTATCTTCGTTCATCTCGAATCCGGACCAATCTACCGCTGGCAGACTGGACATGCTGGTGAACCAGTCGACGCACGGAGCTAGTGATAGTGGCACGATACTGTGGAGGTATACGTCTTCAAAACGGGCATCCTCCATTTCGCGCAGGGCATGGGCATGTACCTACGCCTTTTTTATTGCCTTCATCGTGGGTGCAGCTGCAGTTCTAGGGAAAGAAGCTCAGATGCTAACGATAAGGAAAAGTCGCTACATGTGAGTTCCCATTCCAGGCTATCGCACGCACTACTCTGATCCATATTATAGAGACTACACTAGCGCTCCATATTATAATGGCTTCACTAGCGCTAATCCTACGATCCGACCACCCAATTCCTCTGTCCCCTTCATCACGACAGTGCTTTTGGCCAATATTCCACAGCTCTTACTCTCAGTCTGGTATTTCGCGTACAACTCCATATTGACTCGCCTGCAACTCAGCCAGGAATGGGCTCTATTTTCCACGTCATTCCGACCTCTTCGGGTCTCTCAGCCCAGGTATCTTCTCAATCTTTCCTGACACATTAGAATAGCATGCTGACTAGCGCTCTACAAGAGGTCAGCAGGTTGAGACTTATAGACTCCAACTCCCTTATAAATACAGCATCCTTCTCATCATTCTCAGTGCAGTGCTGCACTTCCTTCTTTCCGAGAGCTCGTCTGTGGCTCTCTACACGGGCAGTATGTACCACGACAAAATGCCACACCTATACGCAACACGCAGACATTAACATTACACCTTAGGTTCTGATCCCAACGGTACGGACAGCTGGAATGGCTATAGCTCTCTACCAGATGATTTTTATGTACAATGGAGTTTATCTCCAACATACTTAGCAGGACTGTTGGCCCTGGCCACCGCCGCCATCCAGGTTCCCTGGCTTCTGGGCTTGTTGCGACTGCCCGGGCACATGCCACCCATTGGATCGGACTCGCGGGCCATAGCGGCTGCCTGCCATGTCTCGCCATTAGCCAAGGCCCCAATCGTCGAGCAAACGGATGGGAAAGGAGAAGGCTATGAGCCCGTATCCATGGCCGAAGAAGAAGGGCACAGTGGTTTGCTCGCCGTTTCGAGGAGTCTTCTCTCATGGGGCGTGGTGAAGATGCCTCAGGATTGGTATGATGCTCAGGTAGACCGGCGAAGTGGTCCAGAATCACGCCGGCCTGTGGAGCATCTGAGTTTTGGTACGGCATTGGACGGTGTGAAAAAGCCTATTAGGGGACGTTTCTACGCATGAACAGGCGCTAGGTAGCTGCACTTATTGACACATGTCTTTTTGTCTATTCAAGCATCTCTTGCCATTAATGGTGAGAGAAGCTGATGACAGGTCTTTTGGATGGAGTATGAGTGAATGCATTACAGTCTAGGTCTCGATGCTACATGAAGACGGGTATGGAGGCAAAAGCCTGTAAGAAGAAGAAAGGGTGACGCGCGAAACGACAGCGCAAACTAAGCCTTGAGCTCAGTGGTACCAGCCTCGTCGCTGCTGCGGTTCTCCGCCTTGCGCGCGTACTCCGTACCAGTGATGGACTCATCACCCATATCCCAGTCTTGCGCCAGGTCCTCGAGCGTCCTGCGCTTGGTCTCCGGGATCAGCAGGGTAGTGAAGATACCACAGAACATGAAAGCTGAGAAGATTTGCATGACGTGGTTCAACCATGGGTTCTTGTTCGTCGCTGTAGCGCCCCGAGTTCGAAGAGGAGAGATAGCTCCCTGAGCGATGATGGAGCCGATCTTGCCTGAGCCAGCAGAGATTCCGTGAGATGTGGAACGGTAGCGAGTTGGGAAGCACTCTCCAGGCACGATGAAGGTGGTCGTGTTGGGACCCCAGTTGAAGAAGAGCTGGATGAGGACGTAGATGGCCAACATGGCGTGGTGGCTGAGGTGACTGTAGGCGAATCCCTAAGTGAAAGTTAGTGTGTGCCTTCGATGTATAAAATTGGAACATATACATACCCAGACAATGAAGAGGATGGTGAGAATGGTAAAACCAGCGAGTTGGAGTGTTTTGCGTCCAACAGTATCAATAGTCGCAACCGCAAGCCAGTATCCGGGAATAGCTCCAGCGCACACCAAGATAGCGTTACCGGCAGCAAGGTTGTGTAGATTAAGATACAGATTGTCACCGTTGGCGTAGCCGATAGCTTGGAGAACAGTCGATGAATTCAAGCCAAGTCCGTAGAATGCAACATCGAGGAGGAGCCATGACATTGCGGTACCGAAAAGAATCTTGCCGTTGCGGAGCTTGCCGTAGAACCTAAAGAAGTCGCCGAAAGAAGCCTTGGGAACTTCAAGCTGAGCAGTGGCCTGGGTCTGGGCAACTTGGGCGATCGCATCAGGGTCGCCGTTGCCATGCTTACCAGAGAGGTACTGGTTGGTGTCTGCGTTGGCCTTCTCGACGTCACGGGCGACATCGAACGTGTAGCGAGGAGTCTCGGGAATGGTAAGACGGTAGTAGAGCGCGATGCAGGCTGGGACGATGCCAATTCCGATAAGGGCACGCCACATCTTGTCAACTGCGATAGAGCACTGACCATCACAGTCTGCGTAGCCCTTAGCGCCTGAAAGCGTGTCCTTGAAACCGGCAACGAGGCAAAGCATGACCAGAGCACCACCGAGCTGACCAAAACCTTGCATGGCGAAGACGGCACCCATCATGGCGCCGCGCCATTTGGTCGTGGCGAACTCAGAAGTGATGATGGAAGACAGTGGGTAGTCACCACCGATACCTGATAGCTATTAGCAAGGCGATAGTTCGTAATTTGACAATAAACTCACCAATTCCCATCAATACACGCCAGAAGATGATCAGACCGACAACTGAAGTGCCGGGACCAGGGCCAGTGAGAGACTGGGCGAGTGTGGCGACGATGATCAGGATCAACTCAAGACCATACATCTTCTTACGTCCAACAATATCGGCCAGTGTACCGAATCCGACTTGTCCAAGAACGGTACCAGCTGATGTTGCAAGCTTGATAGCTGTGTCTTGTTGTGTGAGAAGAACACCCTTGTTGTCGTGCTTGTAAACGATACCCAACATGATCGTCAAGAGAGACACGCAGAAGATGTCGTACGAATCCGTGAAGAAACCGGTACCTGCAACCAAGATTGCGCGCACATGGTACCAGCCAAAGGGCGCTTTGTCGATCTCAGCCAGTGCAAGCCGGCGTCGTTCATTAGGGTCTTCAATATGCTAAGGACAGTCAGCAAGGCTACTACTTCAGACGTCGACCGTGTTACCATACCGCGAAGTCATTGTTGAAGTTGTGGAACGCGGCGTTGCCGCCAGCTGTCTTGTGAGCCATTGTGAAGCTTTGCCGAGACTTGTCAAAGGATTAGACGAGGCTTGAGTTCGGAAAAGACGGCTGTGGGAGCTGGAGATCAGTGGTAGAGGGTGCAGGGCCAAGCTATATACCTGCACTCAAGCTTACGCCGAGTGCTGAGCATCATGCTTGTATGCCAAACCTACGGTACCCACGGACCAGTAAGATCATTCCGTTCTGGCACGCCCGCAGATTTGCAATCTTTCCTTCGGCCGTTTCGCTGTAAGCAGCAGACTCACTCGTGAAAATGCGCCTTTGCGAGCCCAGGCCGCCACCAGGCTTGACGCGTCTTGAGGGTTATCCTTGCCGCGCATCTGGTGTGGTGAAGGGAACGCGAGGAGAGGACGTTCGGTCCAATCATGTACCCCACGTGCTGCGCCAAGACGCTAAAAGGGGCACGGCCAGAACGCCTTCTCCCAACATCGCCCCGATTGACCTTTGAAGGATTGGAGCTTCTTCGCACTCAAGACTCTCTTGGAAAGCTTGGGTGCATCCTTATGATCTTGTGGCTTGTCTTTAGACGCTTGATCAACACTCACGATGACATCCAACGCGTATGCCGCCGACCTACCTGATCAGTCTTGTCTCGTCTTCTCCGAGGAATGCAACACGCTCGAACTGAACCTGGTCCCGTACCCCATGCCTGGACCGACTAGTACAGGGCCCGTCAGATGGGGTTGCATGCATCAAGCAACTGTCTCCGCTAGCCTGCCATGCGAGACCCGTCTTCTGGACTGTCGGTTGGTCCCGATACCAAACTACTTACCAGCACACTGGCAAATTAGCTTACTCACTAACACCCAACTAGTTATCAGGGAGCAAAATTCTGACACTTTGAGGTGCAGGTCATCGGAGGCAACCCAGCCTAGGGTTGCTGCAATGACCGACCCGAGGTTTCATTGGAACCCCCACTGACATCGATGTTAGACTGCCGCATGATTCTTACCCAATCCCATCGTTGCACGTGGGATGGCACTGCAGCGATCGAATTCATTGGTGCTATGAGCGTTTCGGTCGCTGGACCTGAGCGGCAATCGTACCACCAACCCAACAACAGGTGGATAAGCCTACATCGCAAGCGATACACTGTTTCAGCGTCCCAGGCGTTGAGGCTTTTGCAAGATCTACGGACTTTCATCGCATTCGCACATGCAATTCCATCCAGACCATCGACCGTGTCCAATCCGGGCTCACCCAAGACAGCGGTCTTGGGAGTGGGTCACTGCAAGACATGCAGGGGAGATGCAGTTGGATGCCGCGGCCGGGCTGTCCAATCCGGCAATGCAGAACTAGAACCCTCTACTGGGCACCCTCGTCTCTGATGACAATGCGTCGCGGCATCGCCGAGATCGAGAGGTTTTGCTTCCTACCGAATGCCTCGCCTCTCACAACATCTTGATCCGAAGTTTAGTTCTTATCGGTCACTCCACCTACCCGCATATAGTCCGCGGATCGCACGATCGGCTTGCCACAAGTTGCACCATTCGGCGCCTCGACCACTACATGTTAGATTCACATGATCTGGCCCCACGTGCCATCAACCAGGCCAGACACGCGGCAAGTAAAACCAATTCGACGAAGAGCACTGGATTTGAGCACCAGTCATCGTCATTCTGAACGACGATCTTTCCACGGATATAACATATCAGGAGAGGGTCGTTCGCCATTGCACGAATGAACTCAGACGCGATCATCATCAATTGATCATCTCTACTCTAATTCCAATTGGTCGTATGGTCTATTCTCTTCCGCTGGTATTCGTTCAATCGGCGCTTGATTCTCTCATCACGATCTTCTCTTCTTTCCTCCCCCTCGGCTCCCACAGTCATTGGGGCTGCCTGCTCTTTGGGCGGAGACGCCATCTGTTGTCGCTTGATAATCTTCCCCGTCAAATACTGAGATTTTCACAGCGGAAGAAGTCGTCCCGGAACCGTTCTATCGTGCGTCCATACTCGTCTTCCAATACTTCCCTCAACAATCTTCGTCTCGGTGCTGACTGTCGCACCCAAGGCCACGGTCGCTTGAACGTGTGTGTGGTTCTAGTTGCCTGGTTGCGTTGTCGTGGTTGCCTCGCATTATCTTTCTCCACTTTCTTCCTCCTCGGATGGGGAACCAGGTAGCGCAAGTTGCGCAATATACAGTGCGATTTTCCAGGCTCGGAAGCGTCATCATCCCCTCCTGGACGCTCCTTCTCTGATTGAGGCAAGTCGTGAGCAGTAGTTCCTCCTGGCTCCCGATCCTGTGGAGAATCTTGGGACGATCGTTTCTCGTTTGACACACCACATTGTGAGCTCATAATCGACGGCGATGGCGGATCTTCATGAGAACGATTTAGCCCCAATGGCCTCCCTTGCTTCGTTGCACAATCCAAAGGCCAAGCTCCCGGCGGCGAAGGCCTCCATCGCGGAAAGATGAGACCTTCAGGCCATCCCGTCCATGGAGTCTTCTTCGTCCGCCTCCACCCTTGTCTACTTGGGTTGAAACGCTCAGCATACTGCGTCAGTATGGACTGATAACAACCATCATACTGCGTCCGCAAGATTGGTTTGACCAATATTTCGTACGCGCCATTGACATCTTCCATGCGCTGTTGTTCGGTCATGTCTCGAGTGAATGTTGGAAGTGTATATCTCGTCTTCTACCACGAATACCAGTTGGCCGTCTTAAAGAAAAGACCGGAATGCGCTCGGAATGCGGAGGACGTACAGAGAGATTGAATAGACCTTCCTGGTCCTCATATTGTGCAGGATGGTCTCAATACTTGGCCTTTGTGCTCGAACAGAAAACCTTTCAACAAAGAATCTTGTATCCCATCCGCCAACGCGACGATCTGCTTTGTCGCATTATCGCTCTTTTGTCAAGCACCAAGTTTCGATAAGCATCGTCGCACCATCATGGAGGAATACCTGATCCCAGGCTGTCAAAGTGCTGACAGTGTAGACTTCGCGTGTGAAGGACGGACGATTACCTCGCCAGCTTCACTTCCTAGAAGCTTGCAGCCTGTGGCATCGCAAAACAGTGGTGTCGCACAGTCGTTGTTCGAGACTTCTGGAACAACCTCGGTCTTGCCACAGCGTTAGTACACGATAAGAAAGCCAAGGCGGTTGAAATGCACCGCTCATTCGACAGATGATCTCTTTCTATCGAATGGCGAAACAGCCAATTTGACTTGCCCGTATGTTGTCTTCGCCGATTCACATGCGATGTTTGCCTGGGCGGCAAGGCAACAATCTTGGTGGCGGCAACAAGCGAGTCAAGCGCACGCAGACATTACAATGCTGAGAGAGTTCTGACAGCTTCGATGGCTCATCTCGCTTCTAGAAACCAGTTTCGAAATACGCTTCGGCGACAGAACGTTAAGATGCAACGAAATAAGCAAGCAGGGAACCGTGGTCCGTACTGGTGGAATTGCGCGCCAAGCCGATTCCCCCGTATTTTCCCCGCCGTCCGAAGAGGCGATCGAGCCTTCCAGCCACGGGAAAATCTGGGGATGCCTCTTTCCACCACTCAACACCACAACCTGCAGCCACCAGTCTAACGTTGCGCAATACCTGCTGCCGTTCCTGGGGCGGAATGCACGTTCGCCAAGATGGGCCAAGACGAAGTACAGCATCACGGTGATGGACGCAGCATGCACTTGCGCGAGTGGGAGTTTCTCGAGCCTGTACGACAATGCGCCATCAGCCATTTTGCCGGAAGAATTGCAATGGTGGACGCCTCGAAGCCTGGATGCCGACTGCATGGTCGTGTTCTGGTTCTCCGGTTGCCGACGCTGGAAATGGCAGTATATAAAATGTAAGTGATGTCGCTGGTTGATCGGCATCAGATCACGCAAACCCATCTGCATCCTCTACCTGAAGATGAAGCTCTCAATTCTATCACTCCTTTCCCTCACGCTATGTGCGACTGCAGCTCCTGCAGGGGCTGACTTTAGCCTTGTCGGTTTCGCCAAGGACAACCCAATTGGACCAACCACTGGTGGTGCTGGCAAGAATGGCAAGAGCGTCACTGTTCGGACGGTCGCGGAGTTCATCAAAGCTGTAAACGGCAGCGAGCCAACAGTCATTTACGCCAAGGGCAACTTCAACCTCACATCGAGAGTTCAAGTAGGGTCGAACAAGTCTCTCATCGGAATGGGCAAGGGAGCTCAAATCACTGGCTCGGGTCTTAACATCTTCAACAAGACCAATGTCATCATTCGCAATATCGGGTTCACAGCGATTGACGACGACTGCATGACGATTCGTAACAGCACCCGCGTATGGATCGATCATAACGAGTTCACTACTGGCAACTTCCCTGCTCTGGGCCCTGATGCGTACGACGGCCAAGTAGACATCATCCGCGCCGCGGATTGGATCACAGTCTCATGGAACTACTTCCACGATCACTGGAAGAGCTCTCTCGTTGGCAACAGCGATGCGCTCAGGGATGTTGATCAAGGTCACCTCCACGTCACCTACCACCACAACTACTGGCGCAACGAGGGCACCCGCGGCCCTGCCGGTCGTTTCGGCCACCAACACATCTACAACAACCTCTACGTCGACTTCCTGTACCAAGCCATCCACTCCCGTAGCGACAATCAGGTTCTCGTTGAAGGCAACGTCTTCAAGGGTAAGACACGCGAGGCTCTCAGCACATACGGATTGGTCATTCCAGAGGACAGTCCCAACACCAGCCCCGATGGCGACTTCGAGATTGACGGCTTCGCGAACCTTGGTGCAAAGAACGACTTTGGAAAGGCGACTGTCAATATTACTCAAGTTGGCAACTTCACCAAGGCGCCTTACAAGTACAAGCTTACTAAGCTCAAGGATGTCGAGAAGATCGTGAAGAAGGGCGCTGGTCTTGGCAAGATCTGAGCGATGACACGATCGCCAACGATATGTATAAAGTAGTCGTGCTAATAGTAATGTTATTGTTTAGTCCCCATCCTCCGCCTCTTCGTCTGCGTCCATATACTAATCCCACTGACTAACCACAACATCCCACCCCTCCGGAAACTTCCCCCTCTCCTCCTCCCGTATCCCCTTCAACTCCAACCGCGGCGCCCCACCTCCTCTTCCACCCCCTCCCCTCCCCAGAAACTCAACAAAGCAATCTCTCAACTCATCCGGCATAGGCAGCACAGAAAGCACCTTATCAGGCTCACACCTAATCATCACCGCCTCCACAACCAACCTTCTCACCCCCGTCATCCCACTCTCCCCCAAAACCTTCATCCAATGCTCAGGCACACTATCATACTCCCCCAACCCCAACTCCCCCGCATCAAACACCACCTCATCCGGACCCGGATACCGAACCCAAATCTCCACATTCTTCACCCTTTTGCAATTCTCCGCACCGATTTGTCGTTCAAACGCGGGGAGTTGGCCTGGATGTGGGAAGTTGAAGGTGTTGGTGCCGTAGAGGATAGAGGCGGCTTCGGTGTGAATTTGTTTGTTGGAGAGGAGGAGGGAGGGGGTGGGTGGTTTTGGGGGACGGGGAGAGGGCTCGTGCCAGTAGCCGGGGGAGGGGAAGATAGAACCGATGTCGATGGGGGTGGGGAGGGACAGGGCGTGCGTGTAGATTTTGTCGCGGAGTTCGCGGGGGAGGTGGAGGAATATTGTTGGGGTTTTGGAGGGCGTGGGGGTCAGGGTGGGTGGCATCTCTTGGGAGGCGTGAGAGTTATCTTAAAGGCTCTCTGGTGGCAATGAAAATGATGGTGTTGTACAAGAAAGGCATGAAAGTTGAGGCTTCTTTCTAGAGCGACGCTGGGTAGTTTCGGTCTGACGTCAGGCGCTCTTTCAGGCCAACCGCGGGACCGGCGTACATCCTGCGCTAATGACCATCAGATGTCATTGGTTGACGCATAAGATTCAGTTCAGCACTTATCGAAAGCTTAGCTACGACGCACTATGGCGTTGTCAGTGCCGACGCATGAGCACGACACCGAGACACCACTCTGCATCGATGAGAGAATGGGAATCATCAAGCGGCCTAAGAGCCTTTTCGCAAACACTGGGATTGCGAGCGCTCGCTCAAAAAGGCGAGGAAGTAAGCGATGTCAACCTTGGAAGCCAACGGAGCGTCGTTGCGCTTCAATGAACCCCGCGACCCAGGAATGTGGTGCTAGCGTCTTGTCTCGCATATAAAGGCCTCTTTCTGCTCAACATTCTTCCTTCCTTCTATCCACATCTTATTGTACCCTATTCCAAAACGTGGCCGAACACGCCCATGGTTTTCCGGTTTCAACGATTTCAAAACAAGTACAGATACTCTGCATGTGTCACAGCTTCAAAAACTTAGGAAAAATGCATGACGCAGAGCGAGACGAGCCACTCATGACTCCCGAAATACATAACCACCACATACGCAAAAGGTACTCCTCATCAAATGAGGGAGATCGCAATCCTCATAGTTAGGAAAAATGCCTTTATGTGTTCTTGGGAACGCAACTCCAAAAGGCGCCCAGGAAAAAGACATGTGATCTCTGTCTTACGATCTTCAGCTATTTCCTACAAAGATATTGTCGCATATAAAGACCTTCCTCACCAGCACTCTATCTTCTGATACCTTCACCTTCCAATCTTATAACCCAAAACATGGACTTGATAGAGTTAATGTCTTTCTGGTTTGGACGGTCTCAAAAACACCATTCTTCACGCTGCATGCCTTCAAAAACCTGCGAAGAACATAATGATGTGTCCGCGAAGGGTTGCTGCCCTAAAAGACATTCCCAACAATACATGATCTCTGCTAGGCCCTTGTTTGATCATAAACGCTGAGGGTCTGGGTTGATGTCGGTGGCCCAGTAGCGACTCCATTTCTTTCAACTTTCCAACTCATGAGAAGGAGTCTCAGGCATCTTTTCCTAGCGTATATAAAAATATCGTTGAAGATTGCTCTGCTCTCTCCTTACCACTTATCATATCCCGTTCATTCCAAAAAGCAGACTGCTGTGAAGGATGTCTGAGCCTCCTCTCCCCTTCTGAAAACAGATAATCTCATCTTCATGGAAGCTGCCCTTCGCAGATACCAAAAGAGTTAAAATTTCGAAAAAGTTTGAAATGGACACTTATGAGTTCCTGGCCGAGGTGAGATCGCCGCCAATATCCAAAAGCCAACGCGATCGCAACCGATGCTTCTGTAAAAGAAGAAGGTCGATGGGCATCAGAACGCCGGCTTTCGTATCGGCGCAGTCTACAGCCTCACCTGCGAAGTAATAAAGGCCTTTCTTGCGGCGTCACTCCTTGTCTCTTATCCACTACCTTAAAACTTCACTTTCTCAAAAAAAAAGTGAGAGGGGCTGCGCTTATGTGCTGTCTGATATCGAGCCCAAAATGAGAGCTGGGATGATGAATGTTTTCCTGTGCTGGACGAGAACCTTTACACCTTTCTACTCGACTCTTTAACCCAAAATTCCAGTCCCGTTCTCTCATGGAGTTGCCGGCTTCCTTGAAACAGAAACCAGATGCGAAATGCAACATGAACGTCCTGGTTCCAGCATTTTGTATCAAAACACTGAGTGCATCGCTACATGAGTTCCAAAAAACAATAACTTGAGTCGCATGCTGGGTTTGCTGGCATATATATAATAGGAGCGCTTCATTGCTTCTCTCCTCCTCAACTTCCCTCTCCTCGGCGAGCGATCTCAAAAACAGCCAAGCAGGCTTAAATGTCTGTGTTCTCCGGGCTTTCGAAAAGTACACACATTAATCTTGGATGGCTGCGAGCTACCAAAGAAATTGAGGATATATTTGGATGTGGAAGAGAGCCCCGCGGAAATTCCTACTGAAGAAGATCTGATGTCGAGAAAACTACAGAGATACCATACATGTTCGGACAGCACAGTTCCAGGACGTATCAAACCCTCGACTACCAAGGACTATGTGTCGTTGTGGAGCACCAAGGAGTTAAAATGATTAAGGAATCCATTCATGTCTTTGAAAGTCAGCGCAAAAAGAGTGCATGTTCCGCTCCGCCGAGCCTGATCGCAAAGTGTATAAATACTATGCATTCTCGGGCCTTACTCCTTCCTTAAACTTTCTATTTCCAAAAACCAAAACTTAATACCTATCTTTTCATGGTGTTGTTAGCCTCTTCCTCCAAAAACATGCGATCTCCTACATATGTTTGGGCCAAACCAAACATCCTTATCGGCACAAACGCCATTCTTTCTGGCAGGACCGTCTGAAAAAGGACCTCCCAAAACTCGATGTCTCGTTCCGGTCTCGCCTTCAATGCCAAATCTTTAAATAATCGTTCCAAAACAACATGACCATAACGAAATGGGCGGGCGGAAGACATCCACTCCGGTGTATGATATCAAAAACTGGGTTATGAAGTTTGATGTCTGTTCCCGCCCGGAGCTTTGGGATATAAAACCTTCTATTCTTCCTTCCGGATCTTTCATTCCTATATCCCACCCGTCAGGGCGCATTCTCCAAAAGCTACAGGTGTGGCATGCGATGTTCGTCTCTTCGGAGTGACCAAAATTCACACAGAATCCAACCATGGTGCTTGCGGCTTCCCGGAATTTACAAAGTTCGATGACATGAGATCCGAGTTGGCCGCTCAAAAGAACAAGCATTCAAAGACATGTCTCGCGGCTGCGTCTCTGTTGAGATATAAAACTTTTTCTTTACGTTGCTTCTTTGTAGTTCAAATCTGGAGATTAGCACCGTATGTTCAAAATCATTCGTCCAACAGCTCATGCTGTTTCCTGGTATTCGTCAAAAAAACAAGATTGCCACAAACGAATGACTCCTCCGCCTGGGATTTGCCAAAATACACTTTGGAAGCAGGGATGAGCTGAAAAAGATGCAAACCACCGTCATGCCTTGAGAGAATCGAGATTGTTGACCTTGAAAGCCTGTATGCTGCCGCGGTCATCGATACACTGATGATGATCAGCATCATCGCGATGCTGTCGATATCCTCCTCACACCCACATATTCCCCTCGTCCAGACAGGGCTTGTCTCATATCCATTGAATTGTCCCGATCGTAATCGTAATCTACACAAAATATACAACATCTCCGCAACCCAAACCACTATGCATGCGCAGCCACACCCCCCATAGGCCTCATCCCCTGCGGATTATTCGGCGCAGACGGCTGAATCTCCTGCACCGCCTCATCATACTCCGCGGTACTCATCTCCGCGGCATCCCCCAACCCCTCATCCTGCTGCCCACTAAACATCTGCGCGCGCATACTCTGCTCGTCCTCAATCTGCTGGGCAGCCCACGCCTTCCAGTTCTCCCAGGTACGGTCTTCGAGCTCCATTCCGATTTCGAGGGGCCCTTTGCCGAAGTAGGCGCCGACGTGCAGGGCTTCTTCTTTGGCGATGCGTTGGCGGATTTCGGAGAGGTGGCGGTGTTGGTAGAATTCGCGGCGGGCGAGGTCGTAGGCGGAGGCTTTGGAGAGGGAGGCGTGCTTCATTAGCCACATTTGGCGTTGGACGACGCTGGGGGGGTGTTAGTATAGGTGTGATGCGGTATGGTGTAGTTGAGGCGGGTTGGGTACCTTTCACCGTCTAATTGCTTCCCTGGCTGGACAATCTTACTCCAGTCGTATTTCTTGGAGTCGTTCCCGCTGTCTTCTACGACTAGCCGTGGCCGTGCCAGTTCCCATGGGTGGTCGCCGAAGAACTCTGAACGCAGCTTGTCTTCTGGGTATGCGATGGGGAGTGGTTGGAATAGTTTGCTGGCTTTCCGCGCCTTCCGCATCTTGGGTATGCGTAGGACTGGGCGGGCGAGCGTCTCGCCCGGCGGTATGTTTCCGACGACGTCGTACCATTGCGGGAGGTTGGGTTCTCGTTTCGAGTCGAAGAGGGCTTTCGCGGTCTGGCGCACCCGCATCGGGCGGAAGTCGTAGCGGCCCATGGCGGGCGGTGATTTCCTTTATATATACAGATGTGTTATCGCATCGGCGGGGGTTCCAGGGGAAGAGCGAGGGTATAGTTCGAGGTCGGGCGGCGCAATTGGTCGTGTCGTGGATATTGGGGTTCTTGCCCGCAAAGTCCGCAACTCCGCCAAGACTTCGCGACGCCGAAATCTTTGGAGAGTATGACCGCGACACTCCGCACCCGCCACAATTATCCTCCCACCCAGGCAGCTCTTCGCTGAGCTCCCCGTAATCAATTGCACCCGGAATCCCCCAAATGGACAACGTCTGAACTGGCTCCCTCTGACACAATGCTCGACCTCTCATGTCCCTCTTCCGCACCCTCGACCGGACCTCTGCAGTCTCCAATACCGCCCATGCTCGCCCCTTCCTCACCTTCCTGTACCCGAATCCCGAGAAGAATACATCAAAGAGGAGGTTCAGCAAGAAGGCGGTAGACAATGCTCCGTTGCCCGATAGGCCGTCTGCTCGCATGGACACCTTCTTCATCCAGGCATTGGTGCGGGCCGGGTCGTGCCCAAAGCATGCGAAACATATACATACCCCGCGCGACGTAGCATCGCCGACACCGAAACACCACACATCACGCAGGAAGAGCACGTGGTCGAAGTCGGAGAAGAAGTTGGATATTTTCCCCGAGCGCAAAGGGCCGCTCAAGAAAGTCAAAAACTTCGCCGAGAAGGAGCTGCAAGCTTTGGTGGACTACTATGGCATGGAAATTGATACCCGGCCTGAAGCAGATGTTCCTGACGAAGGGAAGCTGGTCTGGAATGTTGGCGATGACCACGAGCCCTGGCCTCTACGCGAGCCGGCAGATGCGTTGCATATCAAGAAGTTAGAGGATCTGCTGAAGGATGATGAGTCGCCGCACGATGAGGTGTTTGATACTTATAAGAAACTGCAGTCACCAGGAGTTGTATATCTTACTACCATGACTATTCGAGCGCTACTGCACCATCTCGCCATTGTCGAACGCCCCACACCCATCGCAGCGCAACGGTTCCTCTCGGTATTAGACGATATGAAGACGGCGCATATACACATAGTCCGCTCAGAGTGGACATCAGCCATACATCTCACTGGACGCGCCATGGGAACAGTGTCCGACGATGACCTACAAAACACCCTTCGCATCTGGCAGGACATGGAGCACCGAGCCGGTCTAAAAGGTGGATATGTCACATTCAACGTGCTCTTCAACATTGCTGTCAAAGCGGGCAAGTACACACTCGCCGAGACCTTCATGAAAGAGATGCAAGCCCGAAAGTTACCCATGCACCGACATTACCGAGTAGCACTCCTCTACTACTATGGCGTTCTCCAAAACGGCGACGCCGTCCGAAAAGCATATCTCGACCTCGTCTCCGCCGGCGACATCGTAGACACCGTCGTCATGAACGCCGTCATCGCATCTCTAATGCGCGCCGGCGAGCCCTCAGCCGCCGAACACGTTTTCGAGCGCATGAAGCAGCTCCACGCGCAACGCAGCGCTACAGCCCGCGGCCACGTCTTCTTCAACCGCACCTGGCGCGACCGCCGCGTGTTAGGCATGAAATTCCGCGACGAAGCGCGGCGCCTAAAGAAAGAAGGCGGCGAGGAAGAGCTAAAACAACTCCAAGACCTCGCGCCCATCGGCCCCGATTCACGGACTTATGGCATTTTGATACGGCATCATGCTGCTGTAGTCGGCAACATCGACCGCGTCAACGAGCTTTTGCAAGAAATGAAATACAACTCCGTAGCCCTCGACGGCACTATCTTCATCGTCATATTCCACGGTTTCAACTCTTTCGGCGGCGTTAGATACTCCTCCTGGACGCTCTCCCGCCTCGAGAAGATCTGGACACAGTATCTCAAAGCGCTCAACAGCGATAATATGGAGCGGACTTGGCTGTCTAGTCTGGCTGTCATTGCGGCGCTCCGTGCGTTTGGGCGATGCGCAACCCCCGAACGCATACTCAAGGCGTGGGAAGAGATTCGCGGGATGTGGCGTCCCGATGAGAGGGAGTTGGAGGCTGCGTTGGCGGTGCTGAGGAGGCTTGTGCCGAGTCGGTTGGACGGTGGGAATATGGAGGAGATGGCTAGGCCGGGGTTCTTTGATGGGAGGAGGCCGTCTTGAGGTGTGGTTGGTTGTATTAACGTTTGTGCTGAGTATGTGTTGGTGATGTAAGACGCGTTCTGTATCACCATCTCTTCTGTAAATCTATTAGTGCACACAATGTGTAAAGCAAGTGTAAAAGTATTTGGAATATGTCTCCGTATACCACGCTGGATTTGCGGCGGCATAGACGGAGATGGCTGTTTAGTGTATCATAACGACATCAACATCATTATCATCATCATCATTATACTATACCGTACCATCCCATACCCTATCTACCTCCTACCCCAACACCACAATCAGACAAGATAAGGTACCCAACCCAATGAAACCCAGCAGCACCCTGTCCATCCTCACCCTGCCTACTATATCTTAACATGCTTCCCCTGCCCTATTCACAAGATCTCAAATCGAGCGCAATGTAACAGGGATCTTCCTGTTCCGTCAGGCCCGTCATCTCCGGTTCTTTGGAGGGAATATCGGGTTACTACTTTGATCTGATGGGGCTTGGCACGGGTAGATTGGCCTATTCAAGTACATTGCGTGGGATGGCGTGGCTTGGATTGGGGGTAATCTCGGGGGAAGGGATCGGTGAGCATGGGAATTTGACAATGCGGTTTTGGGTGGCATGGGAGATTGGGCATGGGGGTTTGCGGCTTTGACTCAGACTGGGGCCCGTTTGGGGTATGGTTTGGTCATTAAAGTTGTCCTTCGATCTACGGGAGAGTTGAGGACTGGCAGGCCGCGTTGGCCTGCATGTTTGTCGCTGTAGCGAGTCGTTTACGGCCAATCACGATCTAGTTGATATTGCTCTCGCATTGAAAACTCCTGACGCAGCTCGTTCTCTGATAATAAGCTCCACCATCGAAAAGAGTAGGAAATATAGCTACGAAGGATTGACCTTTTTGTTGGGTGCCGCATGCCTAGATCAGCCATGCGCTTGTCATCCCATATGGCAAATCCATATTTGCGCCAGCACTTAAAAGGGTACACAAGCGTAAGTGGACCCCCATCTTCGTATCCCTCAAGTGAGGACATTCTGGACCAAAAGAGGTACCCACATGGCCCTAAGTATTCGCAACGTGGATCCTGATTGAATATGTCCTTGTTGCTATCGACGAAGAAGACCGGCTCGGCACAGTAACACCTAGACACTGCTCCTTCTTCCCAACGTATCGTTGGCAAACCGAAAGCTTTGTCCTGACTAGCTTCCACCGAAGCAATGGTCCCAGAGGTGACTGCGCTGAGAAAATCGCTGGCGGTCAAGATCTGCTCTCGCACAGACTTATGCACGTCGTAAAAGCCATCCGCGCTGTTCTCGAACAACGCATCAATTTCCTCTCTCGGCCAAATGTCGTCCAGGCGGCCCTTACGACCGGCGTCCTGGAGTTCCAGGAGGAATTGCAGTCGCCAGAATGATTCCATCATCCGCTTCTCCTCCACGTACGAAGGCGGGCCGGTTTCCTGTGGAACATAGTCCTTTCGACTCTCGGCGCTTTCGAAACGTTCCCGGACCATATTCCCAGACCCCATTTTGATGAGTGTGGAGGGCCTTAGCTGCATAGATTTTCGTATCATATGTTCAAGGCAGGCATGGGACCAGGCATGCACATTCGCGGAGCTGGCGAGCAAGGAACGTACTACCGCGGCAGCTTGGTCTAGTCCAGACGAACGAATGTTGTCGGTGGTAAAGATCCAGTCAGCTTCAGCAATAGTTTGAGCCTCGGGCATGGATGCGAAAAAGTCTGAAAAGCGAGCTTTGAGCACCGCGTCCATCAGCCGACGCGTCCGCAAGGGAACGGTAGCCTCTAGAACCTCCTCCACAATCTCGAGCGGATATCTTTCGAGCACTCCGCCCATGGCCGGCGACGCGTGGGCCAGGTTCCGTAGTGAAAAAGGGTTCGGAGACAGTTTGATTATCTTGATCCTGAGCTCTTCGGGAAGTTGACCAAATGGGTCTTGTTGAGTGCTCTCTGTCATGGTCGTTTGTGGCGCTCTTGGTACTCAGCTATTGCTTCCAAGGAAGGGTCTGGAGAGAAGAAGGAGCCGTGGACTCGACAGAAATTATGTGCGCCTGGTCACTCTACTTCCTTCGCCTCGCGTACTAGCCTCATTCGGTCTCACGTGCACACGACTGTGCCGCTCAACCGCATACCTGAACAACACTTCGAAACATCCGTCTCGACGATGCCCAAGCCCCGCCCATTAGCACTGCCAGGTCGCCGGCTTCAGTCGGTCTTCGCGCCGAGGCTTCTTCGCAACTATGCCTCTCTCCACGATTGTTCGCTTCTCCATCTCGAGACATGCGCCTAGAATCATCAGCTTCCCTACTACGAGCATCGCCACTGGGTTGAACGCTCATCGCAGTTTCCATGGGCGATCTAGCGCTACAGAGTTGCAGTCAAATGTCTTACGCAGACTTCGGTACGACCGCGATGTACAAGTACTGCTTAGAGCGCCTACCCAACATCGAAGCCTGCATATCTTCGTACGGGCCCGAGCTTCCGTGGTTCGGTCGTTCAACTTCTTTTCGTACTGGTATTACTACTTGCGCCTTCGGTAAGTCAGCCCATAGACCCGAGTTCGCCCACTCGAGCTGATCTTGCAGAGTTTTGCACCTATTATATGTCAGACAGGGCGATTCTCTCACCTCTGAACTACAACTCCATTACCCGAACCCAACACCAACGGAACAGGATTGTTTGGAGTGTGCTTATACAGCTCTGCAGATACCTAAATCATTCAGTATCCTGGCTCATTTCAATGACGCGTCTTACACTATCTCACGTGTAGACATCAACCGAATCTCGGATGCGTGTTTTGCTCTGCGGCACGTCAAGTCCAGTATGCGGACGTATCCATCGGATATCCTAACGCGGGTCCACCCAACGTCTAGGGTAGTTCTGAGCAACCTCGAGAGTGTACTGAGAATATTCCAAGACAACCTTGCGGTAAGAGGCGAACTCGCCGATGTTGCGCCTGAGGAGCTTCCCAGTCTAACCAAACGAACCCTGGAGATCGTGATCGAAATTTCCGATTTCTATATGGGAAGTAAAACGTGGCTGGCTGCGGAACTATCAGTTCATGATGCTACGAGAGTAACTAGAGCTCTGCATCGACTACTCAAAACGTGCGTTCGTTGGTTCAAATGGATGGAAGACCTCAAAGCTCCAAGAGGCAGAACTCCAGGACAAGAACGAAGAAGTTCCATATATGGAACTATCCGGGATGCTAAGGGGTGGCAGACGCGCTCTATAAAGGAGGGCCAGCAGGTACTCCAACTCCTCGATAGATGTTCTTCGACGCCGGGAGTTGAACACGTGCGGTCTGAGGTCACTAAAATCGTGGATATGCACAAAAGATTCCTCGAGAATTATTGACCACCCCTGCATTCTTGCGCGAGAGCATAGAAACGTGATGTACCTGAACGATTGCTCGGCTCGCGAAATATAGTACTTCAGTGGGGTTTTCGCAAAGTCGTCGGGCCGCTGGGGGTTGGAACCAGCGTATCTGAATAAATGCAGCAGTGGGGAAGGGTCAAGTGGGCTGTTATCCTAGTGGGCGGGCGCGTCCTGGGTCTATGCTGGTATTGCATCGACAACAATGATGGAAACGATTGAGAGCCGATGCTTGCCGGCCGCATCTCATTTCTCATGGACCGAACGAGCCCGATATTGCAATGTAAAGACTGTTAGCATAGATTGGTAGCGCCATCAATTGGATGAGCATCATGTCCTTACCTTTACGATGTTCTTGAAATGTCTGAAGAAAAGTAGTGTAATGGCACGTGACGCTAAGAGGTGGAAAGTCGGCACGAAGACGGTGCCTCCACATCCCGCGTCTCCGATGCCAATGCCGATTTTGGTCCTCTCCATCTCTTCAGCCTCAACATTTGCATGGCAGCCATACATCTGGTATGCATGTGAAAGTCATCTCGCCATTCTTCCTCCTTCAAGCGACCTCGGGATGCAGGATCTCGTCGCGTATCGTGGTGACGCATAGACACACGAGATTCGGCGTTGTTTCCCGCCAATCTCGTCACGGTTGCACCAGAACAACGGGGACGCCGCGTCGGAGGATCCATCGAAGGAACACGATGCAAGTGTGTCATGTCGCGAATCCGAGGATCCTGCACCGATACATATACATAGCATTGTTGTTGACCTTGCCGATTAGTCGGGATCCCAGCACAAGAGATGAGACAGAATCCTGCGCCGATCGATTGCGATTAGCGCGACACCCAAAGAAGAACGACGAGATGAATCAGCGAGTCATCTGGCGTCGGAGGCTAACGATTGGCCCGGAAATTTCACCCTGGCCGTGTTTGAAGATCTGTGGCGGCCGTCCCTGTGTGCAGGATTAAACTGGTGATGATATCAATGGCCAGTGCTCTTTACGAAGGATTCCGCAGGGGGACGCGCATTCAGCCAATCTTTGCGTCTGCTTCAAAACTTACGATTGTTGCGGCTGGCTACTTGCGAGTACCTCAGCCTCGAACCTGCGTTCGTCGTGCTCGGCAGACGGCAGATATTGACATGTCACTCCTGGTACCCTTGTACATATACTGGAGTCAGGGGCGATGAGGCGTAACAGCCCCGAAAAGTCCACACTGCCACGGGACGCGGGATGGAAGCGTCGAAGCAAAGAAGGGCCTCACCTTCCATCCTTTTGGAAGAACAAGTACAGCAAAAGGTAACGGGGTGGTGTATGGAAGCCGGGTACCGCACACATGGACGGTTTAAAAGCAACACCAGCGCTCACCGCCGTGGAACCTTCTCTCGCGCGCCGCACGCGCAGCCCGTGGCGCGATCCCTCAGGCCAGAAATCCGGCGTCCAGAAAGCGTTTCTCCCAGCGGTACCCCTGCGTAAAGTTTGGGCGAGGACCTGTCAAATGCAAGCATCCGCTAATCGCAGTTCGCTTATCACCTAGCGTTGAGCCTCCAACACGTCTCCACCTGCGTTAGTCTTGCGTGGACGGCATGAACCCAGCTTGGCAACGGCCCTGAATCGTCAACCGTAGCCTCGTGGGAGAAGGCGGCAGACGGTATCCTGTCAGGTCATTAGGGCTTGCGTTCCCGCCCTGCGGCGTGGGTCGTTCGCCAACCTTATAGTTTCTGCATCTTTCAAAGCAGCGCCGGCGCTGGCGTTCCACTTTACTCAGGTACGACGTTCTTCACGATGTCGACATGGGAGCAGATGTACACCGATATGGTGCTGCATGCACCGGATCCAGATGAGGAGCTGCCCTTGTCGAATCGCAGGGCGACGATGTTCGGCACTACGCTCACTTTCTTGGTACGATGTCGTGATATATCTCGATGTATCATCTGCTAACCTCACAGATAGATCATAGCATGGTTTGCGGTTTTCTTCCGTCTGTATGTCCGCATCAGAGTCGTCAAGGAATTGGGCTGGGATGATGCGTTTGTGTTCCTCGCTCAGGTACGTTCACCGTTGACAGTTTTTACGTGTTTGACATGAAGCTAACTCAATCTAGTCGTTGAACACGGCAGCCACCGTCGTAATGTGTCTTTGTAGGTGGTTTACCATGCTTGCGGTATGATCTCGACTAACATGAGTAGCTGTCAAGCAGGGACTGGGTGAGCACATGTTGTACATTGGCTACAACCGTCTAGTAGAATATCTGAGGGTATGCTTATTCCTCAACTGGATGGTGCCACTTGCTAACCAAGCCAGCTGTACTACTTCGAAATGGCCATATACGTCACCAACTGCGGCGTCATCAAGATTGCTCTCTTACTCCAGTACCTTCGCATCTTCAAGGCTGGACTCATGCGATGGATTTGCATCGGCCTCCTCGTCGCTGTAACTCTTTGGGGTATTGCCTTTTCAATCACCGCATGGTTTCCTTGCTTTCCAGTACGCGGGTACTGGGACCGCACCGTGTCTGCGAATTGCTACGGCTTCGGACTCGGGGATCTTGACAGCTTCATCGCTACGTACAAAGCGCAGGCGGCCACCAACATGTTGTTCGATATCTCCATCTTCATTGCGCCAATGGTGTTGTTCAGAACACCAAACCTGCGATCCAAGAACGTGTTCGCAATGGCTGGCGTGTTCACCTTTGGAGCTGTGTAAGTCGCTCATGCCACCCCGCCCAAACATTCCATGCTAACATAATCACAGCGTTGTCGGAACATCAGTCTGGCGACTCCACGGCATCGTCGAAACCAAAGGCGCAACCTACCCCTACGTTGACTACACCTGGTGGTCACCAACTCTCATCATCCTCACCTGCCTCGAAATCGACCTCGCCATCATCTGCGCCTCTATGCCCATCTTCTGGCCCATCATCGAGAAGTCGCTCAGCGCCATCTTCGTCAGCTACGAAGTCCAGGTTGTTGAGGAGCGCGTCGACGACTACGGTCTTACCTACGAGCTGGAGCACATGAAGGGGGACGACAGGCCATGCAGCATAAAGAGCAGCGGGACGAGCACACAAGAGTTGACGAATGATGACGAGGAGTCACATCCGAGGAGGCCACAGTTTACGGTGGGCTTTGATCCGCTGAGTGAGGAACAAAGAAACAATGGGTTGAGTACGAATGTTCAGTCGACAGCTCCGCAGAAATGGCAGCTCTAGATGGTCATGCATATACATCTCGAAACCAATAAAAACACATGCAAACAACCACACAGTCGCAACACGCACACACTGATCGTAATAGCAATGGAACTGATACCATCTTCACAGCAAAATCTCTATCAACTCACACCATCGCTCACGCATCACAACCCTACGTCATCCCAACTCCCCTTCGGCCCGCCATCCACTTCACCTCACCTCCCGCACACCTATGCACTTCGCCCAAGGAACCTCCCTGCCACCACCACCTCACCCCACAGCCCTGAAACACAAAACCACCGAAGACATCTCTTCGGCCTCATGTGTACGTACAGCATTACCATGTCTACCCCACGCAGCTGTTACGGCCGAACAAAAGGTAACACTACTACTGTAATTGAATCGCTCAGCGCAAATGTCAATTGTCACAAAGTACCACCGGGCACAGCGACACTAGTCGCGCGTCTAGATCCGTCGGTGTCGCACGCTACATCCCCGGTGTAACTTATCTGGGCAATGCATCTCCGTGGGGGCGCTGGCTGCTGTGATAGCTTCGCCAGCCAGCCTGCAAGGCACATTGTCCTAGGTTAAGCAAAAAATTCTCCGGGCCTTATGTGGAGTGTTGGTTGATTGCGCGCAGTTGTGCATGAGTAGAACGTGGTCATGTGGGTGATGGGGATTACGGGGGCTGGGGGCTGGATTGTCGGGGATTGTGATGGGTGTTGCATGTGAGGCTGAAGGTCCGAAAAGATGGCCATGGATAAGAGTGCCTAGGTAGTGCGTTGCGTGAGACGGGAGGGGAAGGGTGGAAGGTGGGAAAGTATGGCGGTAAGCTGGGAATTGCGCTTCGGGGAGGTGAAAGTCGGTCCGATCGGAGGTTTATCGATAATGAGATGTCGGGTTGATGGATGGGCGATCTGGTGTGACGCGCAGAGCTCCAGCTGAGATGGAGAGGTGGGTGGGGAGAAGGTGTGGCGAGATTTTTTTGGGTGTTGTAGAGAGTACGCAGGTGGTGCCGGGAATAGTGAGAGGGTGCATAGGTGAGTAGGGTGGTGGTGTGCAAGATTTGCCGACAATTATACTTCTTTTTGTGTTGTTGAACTCGCCATCGTCTATAGGTATTGGCCCTTCGCTACTTGTAGTCTTGGTTGTCGCAGCCTTTGTCTGCCAGCATCTCTGAATCTTCGGATCGTGTGTTTCCCTTCTCATTCTCGGGTTGTTTGTCTTCGCAGTCGAAAACTCTCCATAGTATGTGCGTGAACTTTGACGATCTCTACGTCTCCATCATCTTACCCCTCAAGAACATTGCGGCTGAACATTTCCCTCCACCTACGTTGATCTTCACATGAAGAACTTATCCACTACCCAAGATCACCACCACACATTACCCCGAAACCCAAACGTCGACGTTAAAGCAGCTTGCCTTAGGCGAGCACTTTCCGGTGCGATATTCATGTCCAGGACCAGTCAAACGTTAGTGCATTGCGCCGTTGAGAAGCTAGTGGTTAAATGGGTGCGTAGTGGTTTGAAGAGACGATGGTTTTAGCTTTTGTTGCTTTTACCACGTGCAGCCCTGAACTTGCTTTTTGCTGATCTTGATGTGCATCACCCGCACTCCCGGCAAATGTAAAATGGCGAAGCTTATTTGCCGTATGGCGCGTTGTGGCGTACACACCTCAGGTAGCTATAGCCTCTAGGCCAGCTGGCGTGTTCCCATGGAGAGGGATGCGCGCGGGGTCGCTGGTCGGTAGCACGTTAACCTGAAGAAAACCTGAACAGGTTTGCAGCCTACATGGACAAAAAAATATTCAAAGTAGGTGATCCAACGTCGATGTAGGCTCCAGACCTGTTCAGGTTTTTTTCTTGTACGAAGTGGTAGCGATCTGCATCATGCGTCATATGTCGTTCTGTCGCGTTCTCATGAGCGCAACATATCATGTAGTGAGCTGAAGTTGACTTGGGTGCGGACGGTGTGGTAGCATTGTTCGCTGTCCCTGGCAAGACGCGTCGAAGAACACGCGTTTTAGCGCGAATGGACAGCGGTAAGCACCACCTGGACACCTTCTCCATTCGCGATCCGCCATCAAAGTTGTCGTCAATCTCAGGCTCGTCCAAGATTCTGCTGTCTAAGAAAGCTGGATGCAGAAGCTTCCGCAAACCGAATCGCGGTGTGATAAAGAGCGCTAACGCAAACGGGAGGTAGCGGTCAAACACGTTTCGCGTTCGCTAAATCCATTTCCTAGGCATAGTTTTTGACCACAACACACACTCATTGGCACCTTCTCAACCAATCATGGCGTCACCACAAGACTCGCCTATCATCATAGCCGAAAATGGGGATGTTTTATTCACATTACGCGACCCGGGGTTAGCCTTTGCCGTCTGGGAACGAGCCGAAAACGATAGTGAGAACCACGCGGATGAAGGACGAAATGAAAAGCACGATGCGCCCTTAGACGATGCGCCCTCAGATGATGCGCCTTCAGACGATACGACTCTTAGTACCCCGACGACGACATCGAATCAGCCTGCGCCAAGTGAATCTATCCAACTTGATGTAGTCTACAAAGTCTCATTTCAGCATCTGATCTCTGCTTCGCCAAAGTTCAAAAGTGAGCTCACATCTTGGAGTGAAAGCCGCAAGAAGGACGATGGCTTTTACCATGTAGACACCGAAGGTTGGGATCCAGAAGCTCTTGTTATATTTCTGAACATCCTACATCTCCGCTATCGTCAAGTGCCGAAGTCGCTCAGCCTCGAACTTCTTGCTAAAGTAGCCCAATTGGTGGACTATTACAGATGTTGGGAGGCCTTCGACCTCATCGCTGATGTATGGATAACGCAAGTTCGCAAGACACATCCTGTCCCCATGAACTATTGTCGCGAGCTGATGTTGTGGATGCTCATCTCGTGGGTTTTCAAGATGGACACGGAATTTAGCTCCGCCACCCTGAGAGCCTTGCGGCAGAGTGATGAAGAGTCCATCAGAGACATGGAGCTCGGCATTCCGCCAGCTATGATCGGTGAGTGATATGAATTCGGCTGTCATTAGCCTGTTGCTGACAATTGTAGAAACGCTTGAGACGCGGCGCTTAAACTTGATACAGGAAGTCATAGACGTCTGTCATGAGTGGATTGACAAGTTCTGCGGTGCTTATTCATGTTATCATGATAGAAACCAGTCCTTCAATTGCGGCTCCATACTACTGGGTGCACTCACGAAGCAACTGTACAATATGGACATATCCTGGACGACAGCTGAGCCATTCAGTGGCCTCAGCTTGGAGGAACTCGAGAACGGCGTCAAGTCGATGCGAATGCCTACTTGGCACGTAAAGTACCCTCGCCCCCCTCCTACGGCCGAAGAAGAGAAACAAAAAAAGGAAGAATTCGAAAAGCGCCAAGCCGCTCGCCCATCCTACAATCGTGAACCATACAAGAAACCCGCTCCTGAACCTCCTTTCTACATTTACCTGCAGCATGTTTGTTCCCTTGATCCAGTCGTCCGGGATGTCCAATCGGTAATCAAGAAGGCACAAGGACTAGAGCTCAAGGATTTCGTGGATCGCGCTGAGACTGCGACAGACACAACACCTCGCCAAGGCTGATCTGGGTGATGGTGCTAGCCCCATGTATGCCTATATCCGGCTTGTATCAACGTCTTTAGAATTCTAAAGCAACACGTATGCACCAAGGACGCCGAACAAGCTGCGTTCAAAAAGTCCAGTGGGCCTAAAGCAAAATTCTGTACGTATAGTATCAATACGATTCCACGGTCAGGTACCCTGATGCCCATCAATATGTGAGGAGCCTAGTATGGGCATGAGATGTGTAGAGCTCGGCTGACTTAGAACGCTTTCGTGAAAGCGCAAGTGGTCTTGACCTAAAATGTTAGACAAGACCTTGATAAGAAGCGGTGCACAAGTGCGAAGTTTCGCTCGATTCTCTAGGCATAGGCAGCACATGATTATAGTGTACTTTGGTCGTTGGGATGAGATTTTCCTGAGTTCCATGGTTGCGATGCACTGAACCAAGGCTTACATTCGACACGTGATCAGAATGTGCTAAGTGAGGAGTTTTAGTTTTCACCTTCACAGTCGCGCAGTCCATTTAAGCGATAAGTACCTCAGAGACCTTTCGTCCTCTCTGCTTCTGTTCCTCAACGGACGCAAACCATCACCACACACTACCCAGATATGGCTACTCAAGAGCCTTCGTCGTCCGACGCGGTGCTTCTGCCCAGGTATGTCCATTGCAGTATAGCACAACTCACCATTAACTCTTACACAGCATCGCGGCGACCTCACCCACCGTTATCGTCAAGGTCGGCACAGAAGGCAAAGAGTACATCCTACATACCGAACTCCTCAAGCACCACTCCGGCTACTTTCGCGGCGCACTTTCCGGCGCTTTCAAAGAAACCGACGACGGCGTTATTCCCATCACCGATATTGATACCGACGCATTTGATACCTTCGTCGATTGGATTTATAGAGGTATCACAACCTTTGAGCCCAGCTCATCCGGCAAGCAACTATTCAATGCATACAACAGCTATATATTAGCAGACCGACTCCTTGTCCCCGGATTGAAGTCTGCGCTTTTGGGCAGCTATTGCGAACTTTTCAGCGGCAAATCCCATAAGAGACCAGCTTGCCGTGCAATTGTTGAACTTTTCCGCAATTTGGCTGAGGATGATCCCTTACTGCGACTTTGTGTTGATGTATGGGCTACCCGCAAGGCGATCTACAAGTTGAAGGATTTTGAGAAGGATGAAGCGTCGAGTCTACCGCAGAGTTTCTTCGTTCGTCTGATGCTACGGATGAATGAACTGGGCCAGAATCCGCCGTCGGTGGGGACTTTCAAGCGGGAGGATTACAGCGAGCGTGTAAGGCTTGATGGATAGACGAACGATTCATCCTCAAGTTCGAAGGGCCTATGGACAGAGTCTTGTCGAGCATGCTTCTGCCGACTGTGGCTTTGCATCTACGAGCTCTATCATGTAATAATAATCGTTATCTTCGAGGGCCAGCACTTGCTCAATAGTTTACAGATAATAAATCTGGCTGATCTCTTCGACTGTGCTTTGCGATCGTTGACCGCATAGGTGAAGTTGTATAGTAAGAGAAAGCGTTGATAGTAAGAATCATAAGTAAGAGCAGGATATCTCTCACATGTCGCGATCCGCTAGCCATCTTGATACAAATAGTGGGAAGTGTTATAGATCTGCTCCATGCCTCTTCCCACCTACACCAAATCCTTCTGCACCCCTCCATCATATCTGCGTCAATCCATATCAACAACAAACATATACACCGCACCCCCAAACGCGACACCATGAAAAAAGTCGAAGCACCTCGCGCAAGGTAAGTGACTGACCACGCATCCTGAAAAATTTGAAACGATGCTCATACCATGCAGTGCCGTTGCCGCATCAGATACCGTCGTCATCGTCGTCGTAGTTGTGGACCAGGAAAAAGTTTATACTCTACACAGGCGGCTATTGATTCACCACTCTGGATTCTTCCGACGCGTTCTTACCGACGGAGTGAACATACTTCACCTTCGCGAGCTCTCCAACTTCGTTTTCGGAGAGTTCGACTTCGATTTCATCATCGATAACTTCGATGTATTCGTTGACTGGCTGTATGAAAGAAGCCTGCCTTCTTGCTTCGACACAACCGGCACGAAAGACACTGATGTAGATCCAATGCTCAGCGTTTACGTACTAGCGCACAAGCTGTCAGTCGGAAGCTTGAAGAACACATTGATGGATAGTCTGTTCGATTGGCTGTCAGATGGACGTTACCATCTCGGAAATGCCGAGTTCATGTTTGAGTATTTACCAGGAGGTGACCCTCTACTCCAGCTTGCTATAGACGCGTTCTGCTTCAATGACGGCGTGAAAGAGATGAGTAAAACCATCATCGAGTGGGTTGATTACCTGCCACAGGAGTTTCTGGTTGGTGTTATTCGAAGGATGCATCACTTCAGCACGCTACCGGAGGCCGATCGTAAGCTCAAACGCGAAGACTACAACATCGTTGAGTGTGTGTCATCTGAGGACAAAGACGGAGAGTGACCGGTCTCATACTGGGAGAACGGAAAGGAAGTGGAACAATGTTTGATCCAGGCAGTACGAGAATGGATGGCCGCTTCGGCAAAACAAGGACAGCACGATTAGTAAAAAGCATTGAATGAGTTGAGAAAAATGCAATCAGTTTCAAAACCCCCAGTTAAAGGCGTTGACAATGCGATGACTGAGTGGAACAAAGGTGTCGGTTGTGAGTCTGACGCAGCTTCGCAGCTGGCCCGTACTTACATAAGTGAGGCTCCGCTGCCTTGTTAGCGTCGCGCTACGAGCTTCCCCAGCGCCATTCGTCATTTCGTATGAGCAACATTACCTTCACCTCCGCCAGCTGCCTTTCAGCCTACACACCCTCCACCAGTCATTTACACGTCGTCGCATTCCGTGATTGATCTTATCGCAACAAAACGGAAATTCAACCGCCCAACGGTCGCAATCTAATTACCATTCACGCCCCCGGAACATTCACGTTAGCCCGGTAAGTCATGGACGGCCCGTTAAATGCTCTCATTTACTGACGTGTCTCCTAGACTTTCAACTACACCCAAATCATCATGTCCGACGCCGAGGTTATCGAACAGAAGCGCGAGGAGGATGAGCGCCTCGATACCGCCGAAGACCCCAACGAAGAGGTACGACACCATCCACCACAACGCGCGCGTTGGACTTGTCAAGGATAGCGGGCGGCTGTCGCGCACGCATTCACGTTCCAACATAGAAGAGCATGCTGACAGTGCAATGCAGGAAGAGATCTCAGCAATGAGGCGACGCGTACAAGAGATGGAGGAAGAAGCCCAGAAGCTACGCCAGATGCAGAGCGAGACGGACCTAGAACGCCACGAGATGCGCGAGAGCAAAGAAGACGTCGACGCGCGCAGTGTCTTTGTCGGTAACGTCGACTACGGCGCTTCCCCCGAAGAGATCCAGGCACACTTCCAGAGCATCGGAAGCATTAACCGTGTGACCATATTGCTCGACAAGTTCACAGGTCATCCTAAAGGGTCAGTACTAAGAGGAGGTTTTCCTTGAACGATTTGCGCATTTCCAAGTTTTTTATTTTGCTTTCATGCATCAACCAGTATGCGCGCGTACAGTCGCGTACATGTTGTTGGGGTTACAGTTGGGCGAAAGTATCTTTCGCTACCTGGCAAGAGTTTGGCAGAAAGATCGGAACGCTAATGAGCGTATGCAGGTATGCGTATGTGGAGTTCACAGAACCGCATCTGGTCAATGAGGCTTTGGTCCTTGACAACAGCCAGTTCCGCAGCCGGAATCTAAAGGTATGAGATACAGAACATGCACTATCGAATGCGCGAACGCAAGCTGACACACGTATAGGTCGTCCCCAAGCGAACGAACCTTCCCGGTATGACACGAGGCGGACGCGGCGGCCGAGGCGGACCTCGAGGCGGATACGGCGGACGCGGCTCACCATACGGCGGCCGTGGTGGCTACGGTGGCGGCTACGGCGGCGGCGGCGGCGCTCCACGAGGAGGCGGTTACCGTGGTGGATACCGTGGCGGAAGAGGCGGATCGGCATACCGCCCATACTAAGGGTGTAACACGACGACACCGGCACGCGCTATACCACCAGACCTAGGTCGCCGTTTCTGTATTGCTATATTGGGGTTCTCGAGGCAAGGGTGAAACAAAGGAAACAAAGGACACAAAATTGGATTGGGGAGTCGCGGTGACTATCTGTAAGATCCGAGGCTTGTACTATTAGGGATGATTGTTGGACATATGTCGTGAGGATGCGGCGAAAGGGCTGCTAGACTTCTTATCAACCGGGTTTTCTGAGGGACCGGATGGGTTTAATATATGTTTCTTTGCTTCGTTGCGTGCAGCCCTTCATCTCATGTGTTTGTTGCTTCGGCGGGATCCACGCATCATACTGAGTGTATTCACAACTATCATGGCTTCGTATAGCCGATCACATGAAATATCAAGTTGGAATACGACAAAGATGAATCAATCTTGTATATTACTCCATGCGCAAAATGCCAGGAGATAGAGAAGAAAGTCAGGTATCATAGCCACATGCGGCTTTCTCCCACCATCTAAGCACCCATACTATGCTTGGGAACCTCGCCCAAACGCCAGGATCCGTTTCTCATCAAAAGGACGTTTCCATACCAAGCGCGCCTCAACCAAGAAGTCAAGGCAAAGAAAGAAAGAAAATGCAAGAGCACATCCACCTCGTCTGAGCAGTATCCGCCGCAGCCGAGTGGAAGACAGCTGGATCACTGCATAACAGCTCACCAAGGCCTAACCACACCATCCCGTACCCAACCCACACAACGGCCCTCACGAACCCTTAGTCACATATAACCAAAAGGCATCCTCACCCCACGGTACACCACCTCTCCCCCAATCTCATCCCCGACAACATGTAGCCGTTCCCCCGGCGCTCTGACAACGTACTACGGCGCCGGATTCTCCTTGACAATCTGCTTGACCTTGCGCTCATACGCCGCCTTGTCCTTTTTGAACAGGTTGAACGCGTCGGCTTGTGCTGGGCTCTCTGGGTTCGGCTCGTCGAGCAGGGATTGGATGCCCAGCAGGATCTCTTTGATGTTGATAGCGGGCTTCCAGCCTTCTTCTTCGTTGAGGATGCTGAGGCAGACGGTGCCGGAGGGGTAGACGTTTGGGTGGAAGAGGGGGGGTACGAATTTGCCTGTGAGCGGTTTAGCTGCTGTTAGGCAGATGGGTTTGGGAGTTTGGCGGAGGAGGAATGGGTATGGGCTGAGAGATGTGTGGGGACGTACACTTCGGCGGCTTTGTTGGGTACTCATCTGGGAATGCGACTTCGAGCTTGAATAGACCGCCTTCCCATATCGTCTTTTCTTTTCCTGGTACGCCGCATTCCCACCGCTTCAGGTCCATCATGCCGTTGGAGCCGCGCATGGGCTTTGCGAAGAAGCCGAAGGGGTGGTCTCGTCGCCATGACTTTCTGGCTGCTGCGTTAGCGAAGATCATGTGCGCTGGGGAGTGGAAGCACGTACCTCTCTTCCGAGAGCCGGTTGACGCAAAGAGACATGGTGTCGGTGTAGGTACAAGGCTGGCCGTTGCGCCTCTAGCTTGTCCTCTGGATTTCGGTGCTGAGATACCGGCAGAGCGTGCGGTAAAGATAGCGAGAAAACTGCAAAGACGGCGTCTTATATATCGCGAACTTGAGCGTGTGGCGTCGCGCTTGTTAACGTGCTACGATTGCGGTAAAGGTGAGGAATGCAGACGGTAAGAGGACCAGGTGAAGTCGAGTTACGGTTGCACGTGACCTGAACAACAATTATCGGGCACCGCAGCGTTGGGATTCGGGGCTAGATCCCGTCGCGCGAAGGTGGAAGGTGCGATGCGCGATCTGCCCCGCGCTAGGGCTTGGCGCCGGTGCCTGCCCCGCTTATGTGATCCAATGCGTATGCGCGGGCCGAGGCTGACATGGCATGTGTCTGGTCTAGGTAGCTACGATCTTCTTTACCTGTTCCTGTCTCTGTTTCTTGGACCCTATAGAAGCTTTACCTGTAGCTCGAAGTGAGATCATACTACGATGGCGGACACAGCCGCAAAGAAGGAAGAGCAGCAGCCCGCCAAACCCACAACCACCACAACTGCCCCTCCCCCCGCCGAAGTAGCCTCCGACCCCGAAGAAGACGACCTCTCCGACCTCGACGATGTCCTGGACGAGTTCGCAAACACGAAGCTCGACGCCAAAGCCCCCACCGCTTCCTCAATAGAAGCAGCCTACCCCAAGTCCAGCGATGCGCCGTCGTCATCCGGGCCCGGCAGGCCAGCCTCTGACATCTCCCCCACGGAACTCATGATGGAAGACCAAGATGCGTTCCAGGCACAGCTGCAGAAGGAGATGGAACAGCTTCTTGGTCAGGGCGACTTCCAGAAACAGTTCGACGAGATTATGAAGGAGATGAGCGCGGAGATGGGGGGCGCGAATCCGTTGGAAGATCCTGCGCTTGGGCATGAACATGCGCATGCGCATGCAGGTGAGGGGGCGGGCGAGGCGAAGGAGAAGGCGACTGCTGCAAAGGCAGAGAAGACCTTCCAAGAGACTATCAAGAAGACTATGGAGCGCATGCAGTCTTCCTCCGATACCGCAACCTCCGCCGCTGCATCGTCCTCCCAAGACGATATCCTCGCGCAGATGCTCGCATCTATGGAATCGGGGGGTTTCGGTGGTGCGGGTGAGGGTGGCGACGAGGACTTCAGCAAAGTGCTCATGGGCATGATGGAGCAGCTTACCAACAAGGACATCCTATACGAGCCGATGAAGGAGCTAGATGATAAGTTCCCAGCGTGGATGGATAAGAACAAGGAAAAGTGTGAGAAGGACGACTTGAAGAGGTATGAGGAGCAGCAGACGCTGGTTAGGGAGATTGTGGGCAGGTTTGAGAGGAAAGGATACAGTGACGACAACGCGCAGGATAGGGAGTACATTGTTGAGAGGATGCAAAAGGTATGTGATTGCTATCTGATGCGTGATGCGACAGGTGCTAATATTAATGTAGATGCAAGCCGCTGGCTCTCCACCGCCTGATCTGGTAGGTGATATGAATGCTGCGCAGGAGGCGCTTCAGGATATGGATCAGGGCTGCCCGACTCAGTGATCTCCTTGTGCGATAACTCGTCTGCTTCATTCTTCCCAGATACCCAATGTACATATGATGCCTTCCCCCAAGCAATCTGTTATACTGAGATGCAGAATTCCCGTCTTACAACATGTGCAGAGCTGCTATGATCTCACCACGAAGTCAACATTCTTGGAGCGACCTCTGGACAAATCTCGAGTGTCTCCAATATCGAGCCATTCTCAGCAATCCATCATATCCATATCCATCGCGTCCCCTCCGAACGCGTCTAGCGCGCGTTGCGGTTGCTGCTGATCGTGCCCCGCTGTCGCACACTCCATGAAGATGGAATCATAGTCGTCGTCATCGCTACCATAGTGCTGTGACCGTGCATCCGATTCTTGCTCCATTGACGCGATCAATTGCTGTAGCTCGTACTCTTCCTGTGCGGCGACGTAGTCGGCTTCGGTCATCTCGGGATCCGATTGAGGCGCGTAAGTTGGGAGTACAGGTAGCGGCGCGTCGTCCATGGTCTCTTCATCGATATCGTCATTCTCCTGGGGCGCTTGACGCGCTTTCTCGGCTTCCCAGCGCTTCCGCTCAGATACGAAGTCTAGTTGTTGAATCTGCGTCATCAATTAGCATTGCTAGTCGCGTCTATATACGGTTGCATCGCGTACCTGTTCGCCTCGCGACTCCCACGTCTTGTCGTCCCGGTTGTTTTGCACGCGCTTGAAGAACATGTCCCTCCTGCGCTTCGTCGTGGCGTCGCGCGTCTGCATCACCGGATTGGCCTTGAACGCGCGTTGTGGCATCGCCGACTTCTCCTTAAGAGGTGACGACATGGTGAAGTCGAAGGTTCGTGGGGCTGCATTTGCGGAGCGCTCAGATAGTGGTGATGAGCGCGGTGGCGTGTATGCGGAGTAGTGCGGCATTTGGTGTGAGAAAAAGGATGTTGTGAGCATCATTGTGTGGTGACGTAGTTCAGTGGTGATGGTATGGATATAGATCGCGTGGTAGCGTGGGGTGGATTTCGAGATGTGGTGGGTTTTGTGTGGATGAAGTTGGGAGGGAAGGTAATGATGCGGGCGCGAAATGATGGGCAGTCGCGCTCGCGCGATGGTAGGTGCGTATCGATAAGTCACGTGTTTGTCTATGAGCGCAGAAAGGGTCATTCCCATCGTCTACTCTGTCTACCACAAGACGACTTCTGGATTTTTTGTCGCGTTACGATCGAACGCAAAAACATCCTAACAGTCGCAATGCGTGTTACAAGCATATTGAGACCCTCCAACGCCTGGAAGCTATCCGCAATGACATAGCTCCTACCGAACGAGAGCAGGTGGCTCTGCCTCGCGACTAGATCCGCCCTTTCGGCCTCTGCATCCTCCATCGCCTAGCTTCCAACCCGGATCGACACACAACGTGGCTTACATGTGGAGGCACTGGAGCTGGCGGCTACAACATCGCGAATCGGACGTACCTCGAGCTTGAAGCAGCCGCACCGCCTAGATGAGACTGTTCATATAGGACGAGCAGGAGATTTAGCTCACGTCCTGCTCCTGAGCTTCTGTCGACAGTGTGTTCAAGGTTTTGGTGATTTCGAAAAGAGGAGGCAGATAAGTTCGACCCACTCGCGTTGCCACTCACGTTCCGCATGAGTAGCGTCGACTTTCGAGAGGCTCAACTGCTCAGCAAAGCTGCTGGATAGATCAATACAAGACTGGTGTGCAGTCTTGTAACGTCATCATCAAGCTGCGTCCGACTGTTTATGATTCTGCTAATATATATGATGCGCAAAGAGAATCTCTCGAGTCAGTGCTCACAGTCCTACTTTTGGTGGTTCACATCCTCCCCTCAATCCCCCTTTTGGATCGTCTCTACAATGGCGGAGATATTTTTCACTAGTGCATTGTATCCGTATGGATTCCGATCGTTGAAGCAAATTTAAGACATAATCTTTGAAATTTTCGTACCCGTTTGGTAGGTTTTTTGCTGCGATGCTAGAATTTCTACGCCGCTCAGCCTTGTTGCGCTTTACATGATTGGCTGATCATACACCCAGCCTGAAGCCAGAGCAAATCAACACGAGTGCACGTTACATATGGCCAGTGTGGATTCTGTGGATTAATGACGCTTTTGATCCGAGTATCAGTCATGGTCAGTGACAACATGTCCAGCTAGATAATTGAGTGCATACTGAACATGCTTGCACATTGTGTCAATGAGCGGGTAGAAGGATGAGGCTGTGCGGAAAGGATGTTGTGAATCAGGCATATATCGACGCACACGTCATCGTCGCAAACCCTAGCCCCCCGCACAACGTCCCTTCCTTCTTGAATCTCGACAGTCAATTATCCGATACTACGGCATCCCTCAAACCCACTCGTCCTTCGTAGGTATGGAGGCACAAACGTACACAATTCGACCACAGAGCCCTAGTGATGTTTCGACAGCCAGTGGCTCTGTGCCCACTCAAGAACCGCCCAAGAATGGCGGGGCTAAATGCGCAAGTCCCACAAACGGACCTCCCACCAACAAGTGGGTCACTATACACCTTGTGTATTGCTCCGGCACTCATCAAGACCACGAAGGTCATCATTCATGCGCATACTTTCTTGATCTCCCAGCTGTACCTACTGGCGCAAACCCTACGACACCCCTCCGTGGCCAGGATCGCTTGCTGGATATCGGGAGCTATTTGGCTGGACGGGATGGTCTTGATTTTGTGGTTTACCTTGAGTACGACTGCGAAGTTCATGATGAACTTACCGGGGTAACCTCAACGCCCCTTCCGAAGCCTTGCATGCTTGAAAATGAGGGTATTGAGCTTGAAAATCGACCTGCAGAACCTATTTCCGAGCGACTGCACCTGTCAGCAAGTCTCGAGGAAGCTTTGCGCGCGTTATGCGACCAAGACACAAGCAAACACGAAGAGTGGGACTTCGCAGAGGATCTCACATACCCGTATACCAAGTTGTACAAGTGCAGAAGTCTCTTCACCGACCCAATGACACAATCATTGGAACCGGAACAACAGCTAGAACTCGAGAGACTGTTCCACTACCTGGCGGAGCGCCTGACCGTAGATTACAAGAGGCTAGCGGAAATGTCCGCTGCGGGAGTTATCAGTCAAAAGCATTGGCCACTGCTATTTCGATCAAATGACACGGTAATCACAATGCAAAATGACCAGTACGAGGCGTTTGCTGTCACATCTTGCCGCTTGATCAATCAAACTACGCTAAACATGGAGTGCTGGACCTGGGTATACAATGGAAAATTCTTTCGAAAGCACTTCACTGTTGCCAGCAAGTGGCCCACTAGCTCCAAGCAAGTCGCAATTACCCAGCTCTCGGCATATCCCGTTCGTTACGCCGCAGACGAGATCGAGTACAGACTGCGCGAACGTGGCCGTACCTTCTGGGGTTGCCGGCGACGAAAGTACGTGAACTACAGTGCGCAATCCAAAGGCCTGCGCCCGCAGCTCGTAAGAAACCTGTCGCAATTGGCTCGAGCTTTACTGACTCAATCAGACTAATCTACGGTACATGGTCGACATGGATACATACAGGTCGACTCAGAATATTGGTGATGACACGTTAGAAGATGGCGAGTTCCTGGATGATGTCCTTGAGAGCGACGAAATTCCACAAGGCTCACTTGCACTTTTGCTTCCGTCAACCATTATTGGATATGGTTTTCACAACAGGAAGTGGGGTAAGTTGATGAAACCACCCAGTCGTACAGCTAGTGACGAAAAGCATAGATACCCTCCTGGTTGATCACATTCGGGACATCGAATGGAACAGTGGAGTCTTCGAAAACCAGCTGGTTCTCACAGAAGCAAAGAAAGAGCTGATCAAAGCTCTTGTTACCGTCCACATCGATGATAGCCGTACCACTAAAGCAGACTTCATGGACGGGAAAGGCGAAGGGCTGGTTATTCTGTTACACGGAGGGCCAGGCACCGGTAAGACGCTGACCGCTGAGAGCATTGCAGAACTCGTCAAGCGTCCGCTCTTCAGATTATCATGCGGCGATCTCGGTACCGATGCTCAAAGTGTTGAGAAGAACTTGAAATCCGCCCTGGCCTTTGGAAGTCACTGGGACTGCATAGGTCTTCTGGACGAGGCTGAGGTATTTGTCGAAGAGAGAGCAAAGAACAGTCTCCAGCGCAACGCGCTAGTCTCCGTGTTTTTGCGCCTCTTGGAGACTTACGATGGCATTTTGATCTTGACAACAAATCGTGTCGGCGTCTTCGACGAAGCTTTGACATCCCGCATTCAGCTTGCGCTTCACTATCCACCGTTAGATAGGAACAGCCGTCGGAGGATCTGGAAAAACTTGGTCCAATCAATTTCGGAGACTGGTGAGAACATCAATAAGGAACACATTGACACGAAACTCAAAATCATCGCGCGGCATAAATTAAATGGCCGAGCAATCAGAAATACGCTGAATACAGCTCGCCAGTTGGCGCGGTACAAGAACGAAGCTTTGAGCCACGCGCATATAGATCAGGCGCTTGGAGTCGTTAACGAACTTCTCACATATATCGAAAGGACAAAGAACTATGACGAACTTCGGAATGCGTGGCGTCAAGGCTGGAGGAACGATGAAGACTTCATTAGGAAGGAAGTTAAGAAGAAATCGAAAAGGGCAGTTAGCGAGTGCTCGGACAGCTCGGACAGTTCGGACAGTTCGCACAGCGCGGATAGTTCGTCCTCTTCAGATACCTCCTAAGTATCCCTTCCCAGCACACTCTGTGGTTACAATTCTGCTTTGTTAGTTCTTCCGCTATAGTTTCCTGGTAGATCTGGTCATTCGGTACGATGTTGTGCGTTGGCAAAAATGAGAGCATGAGCAGTAAAGTGTATGTAGTCTCCATGTCCAGGTGGCCAGATCATCAACAAGCTGCTAGGAAATCTGTGACATATATTGTAAGACCCCGAACTCAGCCGTGATTCACAGTGCCGCTGATTCGAAGACCCCAATACAGATGTCTCCTGAAGTATTCAACCTCTGACAAAAGTTCTGCTGGGTAGCGAACGGAAGTTGCACCCCGCCGCCCCGCGGACGACTTTGCCAAGGCACTAACATCGAGACGCCGAAATAGCTTCGTCGTTTGATGTTGTCCTGCTCTTCGCCCAGCACTCCTCCATCATCAGCCTTACCTTCGCAGATTGATGTCCGAATGTCGACACATTGCGCACAAATGCGTATCTGTATCTATCAGCCGCTTACGTTACAAATAGCCACAGCTAGCACGCTGTAGATTCGCCAGATTCGCCACATCTGCGGCCGAGTGACATTAGCCCTCGTTAGAGGCCGATCTCGCCTGTCATTGGAGTGCACTTTGAGGGACCGAGATTGTAGGTGTAGATTGTCCATACACACTTCTAGATGCCCTAGGGCAAATCTAGATGCAATGGCAATGCGCAACACGCAGGTGGCCAGTGAGAAGGTACCAGAGTGCATTAGCGCACTCAGGTGCGAAAAGCTACGCTAGCTCCCTGCCGACCCGCAAGTCCTATGGCCGCCTGTGTTGAGTCGGCTCGTCTCGCGTGGCGATATGCAAACTTTCACTTCATACCTCACGATGTCTGATGTTTGTTGAATGCATGTATTTACTGTTTCTCTCTACTGTTGCAACGGCGAAGCATGGAGCCTGAGAAAGCTAGTGGACGCCTCCGACCTTTCGTGGTTTAGTCGCTGGTACTGCGCATCATGGGTCAACATTGGGACAGCCGCGAGGAGACCAAAACGGACCGCTATGGGATGAGGAGAGAGCGCGATGTGCTGCTCCTCTACGGCGCGGCGTTTCGCAATATTCCTCATGTCGACAATCTGGAAAACCATGTACCCCGCTTATCCCCAGATTCGACTCTGACAGCCTTGTGTCAACTTACAGCTATCCGGATGGGTGCCCAGCGGTCCATGATATCGCTCCTCGACGATGAACGGCAACACATACTTGCGGAGGCTACTTGTGACTTACCGCTGCGGCCAGAAGCACCAGGAGACGCCCCAAATAGCTGTTGGCTTGGGAACGTGAGCATCCCGCGGAGCTGGGGCATATGTGAAAAGGTCCTGGAATTGGACCGGAATGAGAACCCAGTTTTTATCATCAACGATCTTAAGAAGAACCAAGGGACATGTTTTCGAGACGATGTCCAAGGCAATTCCGATATGCGCTTCTACGCTAGCGTCGCGTTGATGTCTCCCAACGGCGCAACAGTCGGATCGCTATGCATCTTCGACAACAAGGTTCGAGACGGTCTTTCCAAAGAAGAACTTTCTTTGTTGAGGGACCTGGGTTTTACGGTCATGAGCTATCTGAACACATATACGATCAGAGATCAGTACAGGCGAGGAGAAAGGTTCACTCGAGGGCTTGTCTCCTTTGCAGAAGGCGCATCTGTTCTGTCTCCTTTCGAGGGAGACGTTCGGCACGATTCGACAGCAGTCGTTCAGACACCGTCAGATTACTCTTCCGCGGCGTCCAAAACGGACATGGATGGAGCGAAGGATACGCGAGATAAAGCCGAAGCGAAGCAGACTACTTCTGTTCAATCACCATCAACAATGGCCAAGACGAGCCGTGCCAGATCCAATAGACATCGGTCCATCGGTACACTTCGTAAGGACTATCTCTCCAAGCTTCGCACGGGACACGCACTGACTCGATGCAATAAATCTAGAGGACTCTATTCTACCCACGGACTCGAAGTCGATGTTCTCGCGTGCTGCAAATGTGTTGATGAGCTCAAGCGATCTGGACGGAGTGCTGATCCTAGATGCAAGCGTTGCGGCAAGCGGGGGACAGCGCCGCGGCAACAGCGCCTCAAGAAGCGATACTGATGCCCCCTCCGAGTCGTATCGATCTGGATCTTCAAGCGATGAGGCAAGCTCCAACAGTACCGAAGGTTATGCCCGCGGAACTTCTTCGTCAAGTTCCAAAATGTGTCAGCTACTTGGAGTAGCAACGCCGAGCGACAAGGAGTCGGAATACGGGACTTTGCTGGAGCCTGATCTTTCCCGCTTATTTCACGAATATCCACATGGCAAGATCTTTACCTTCAACGCTGAAGGCTGTTCCTTATCCTCGAGCGAGGAATCGATTTCGAGCCCCAAGGTTGCTGAACATCTGACACCTGCCCCGCCATCGAAACGCAAGACCAACGACCGACCGCAGCGGGGATCGGCTGCTATCCAGGCGATGTTTCCCAAAGCACGCAGTATCGCTTTTATTCCCTTTTGGGACTTTGAAAGGGCTAGATGGTTTGCCGGCTGTCTGTGCTGGAGTAATGATCCATACAGGCTACTGTCCGCATCTGTGGACATGGCATATTTCAAGATTTTCAGTCACTCGATCATGAGAGAGCTCTCACGACTAGATGCCGCGGCCTTGGATCAGGTGAGTAAGCGCTTAAGCTAACGATTTTGCAAGAGCTGAGAGATTATCACAGGCCAAATCGACATTCATCTCGTCCATTTCACATGAGTTACGTTCGCCCTTGCACGGAATACTTGGTACACTAGAGTTCATCAAAGACACGCCGTTGGACTCATTCCAGACCAGTATGATGAACTCTTTGCACGCTTGCGGTACGACGCTCCTTGATACCATCAACCACGTCATGGACTACGCCAAAATCAGCGAAGAAATGAAGATAGTTTCCTCGAAGAAACTGAAAAACGAGAATACAATACGGCTATCTTCCAAGCCAGTGAAGAGCCGGCGAAGAAAGATTTCCGCATTTGATTTTGGAATCGCAACCGAAGAGGTCGTAGAAGCAGTGTTCTCTGGGTCATCATACATTCCAGCCACCTCCAAGCTCATGGAAGCACCTATATCGCCTACAGATGAACACGCAGTCTCGTTTCCTCCGCGCAGAGCACGTTTTGTCGTTTTCGATTTGGCTTACGATGATGATTGGGTCTTTTCATTTCCAATTGGATCGTGGAGAAGAATCGTGATGAATTTGTTTGGCAACGCTGTCAAGTATACTGAAACGGGGTACATTCATGTTTCCTTGAGATCCAACAAGCTAGCTGAAAACGCCGATGCGCCTGCAGCGATCACACTCACCATTACGGACACTGGCTCGGGCATGAGTTCTAGTTTTCTCGCGAACCGCCTCTTCCAACCATTCTCCCAGGAAAACCCCCACGCGCCGGGTACAGGCCTGGGTATGAGTATTGTGCGTCAGATAATCGACACGAACGGCGGCAAGGTTGAAGTTAGCAGTGACCCGAAAACCGGCACTAAAATCATTGTCAAACTTGCCCTTAACAAACCAGAAATACCTGGTGCGATGACGACTGAACGAGCGCAGTTTTTGTCTTATCTACCAAGGTTAGAAGGTCGGAGGATATGCATTCTTCGCAAGAAGATAGAAAGACCAACCGAAGACACCACTGTCTCCAAAACGGACGAAGGTCTGTTACGCTTCACCAACGCACTGGTTTATACCTTGGAGACACATCTCAAGATGGAAGTGGTGAAGACGCACGAGTGGGAAGGTCACGACGCCGACATGGTCATCTGCCCGGAGTTGTCCTTTGACTACCTCGCCACGATCCGGAAAAGGAGGCCCAACGGTCAACGCGCCCCAGTAACCATCTTTGTGGGGATGGATGCACTCGAAGCAGCGACTTTGCGATCCGATGTCCGCGTTACCAATCGTGAGTCGGTAGTTGAGATCATCACGCAACCATGCGGACCTTACAAGCTCGCCTGGGTTCTCAACCGATGTCTGGATCGTTTTGAACATCCCGCCGAAAACCTACAACCTGCCGGAGTCTCTAGTCCACTGCCACAGCCTCGACAACAATCACACCCCTCTACACCAACCAAGTCGATGCAGAATTCCATGGAGTCTCTCAGCTTGACGTCACCTGAAGCAGTCGCTCCTTCTACTGCTGGATCCACAAGTGTGCAGCATTCGGTTACGTCGCCTCAGGAAGAGGATCCTGTGATATCGCACACCCTCATCGTCGACGACAATATGCTGAACCGACGACTGCTCGTCGCGTTCATGAAGAAACACGGCCTTCAATTCGAACAAGCGTCGAACGGACAAGAAGCCCTGCATAAGTACCAGGAAGGTGCGCGCAAATATGACGTTATATTGATGGATATGTCTATGCCGGTCATGGACGGTATGAGCGCTACACGTGCGATTCGCGAGTACGAGCGGAGTAACAATCTGCCACGGTGTTCCATCGTCGCACTTACTGGCTTAGCGTCTTCGAGTGCCAAGTTGGAAGCATGGAGTTCGGGGATTGATCACTTCATGACGAAGCCGGTTAACTTCAAGGCGCTTGGAGAGCTTCTCAGGAGCGATGAGGCGCAGAGAAACGCAAGAGCGGGCAATGAGGATCACACACGGGCAGATTGAAGGGCTTTCTGATGACGAGCCCAAGATTTGACCATAGCGCTATAGCTCAAAGGCAACAGGCGTTTCTGAGAAGATGACAACAAACTAGAAGTCTCTTTGGACGTTGGATCAACCGCCAGCATCCGCAGATCGCAAAGATCCAGTACATAGTGCAGAATGCACAAAGACACATAACCAGCCGCCTATCCTTCTTCCTCCACAGTCACAGTGAACTCCGGCTCCTCCAACCCATACAGCACCTTTCCATCCAAAACCCAATTGAACAAACAAGCTCCACATCCCGACAGCGCGCCAAAAGGGTTGATCTCCACCAACTGTACACCCCCATCTTCCTGCAGCGCAACATCATAACTAAACCCATACCTCAACAGCAACCCCATGATCTCCTCACTCAGCTCTTTCTCCGCATACGCCACAATATCCCCCAACACCTTCTCCGCCCCCACATCAACCAACTCAACAGTCCGCTGCAATTCAAACCCCCATGGCGCTTCGAACCCCATCGGCCACCTATACTGGCTAATCGCACTAACCTCAAACTGCGCCGCGAAGGCCTCTCGTCCCGTCTTCGCAGCAGGCGGCGGAACGAAAACGCGAAACTCCTTTGCTGGATCCATACCCTCATCCCACGGATTCAACACGAGTTTAATCTCCATCTCCCTCTTTTGCTTTTTCGCATCTTCAAACTCGCGCGTCAGACAGCCGTACGCGCGCATGCTGGAACATATCTTCGTGATGACGTCTTCGGCTGTCGAACTGGGTAGTTTTCCTCCCATAGGCGAGTCTTTAGGCGACATCTGATCAAGGCGGATGAACCATTGCCGCTTTCCGTCGAGGAGGGCAGCGAGTTTCTTGCCTGATTTGGTGCAGAGCAGTGTTTCGACGACGTCGTTGAGGAGGGAGGTAGAGATGCGCGATGTAGATACCCACGCGCTGTGGCAACGCAACAAATCCTCGTACAGGAAGCTGGGAAGGAGGATTTCGTGATATTCGGCCAGGTTTTGAGAGGTTGCGATGAGCGGGTGCCAGAGTGTGTAGCCGTAGGGTGTCCAGGGGGGTGTTTCGTGCGTGAAATGTGGGTTAGATGGGACGATGGGGACTATTTCTGAGACAAGGTGGTGGGCGGTGCTGAAGCGTTGGGAGTGCGAGGATGGGTTGGAGGAGTCGGTGTTGGCGGCTATGGCGGCGGTGTCGGTTAAGACGAGGGAGTAGGGGATTTTGCGGAGGTGCATTTTGGGGGTTTTTGTGGGATGGTTTCTGGGACGCGGAGTGTGATGTGGAGGGGGAATTGTAGATGATTTAAAGGAATTAGAGAGCCGTATAGACGAGTTTTATATGGCAGGTGTGCATTGCTGATGTTGGGCGTGAGTATTGCGTACCATGGTTACGATGGAGTCAGGACATCCACATTTGGAATGTGAAGGGCGTAACTACAATTTCTTCATGTTAAACTGTGCATTCTGCCCTTTTAAGTGATCAAAGAAGCTCAGTTCGGGCGCCTTTGTTCCTAGTCTAATCTCATCGCATAACCCACGACCTACCAGCCCTGGATGTCGTCTACTTAGCCTCCCACTTCGCACTTCGCACTTCCACCACCACTGACCCATCTAATCTTCCTTCATCCCCATCATCCCAAAATATTAATGGCGTATTTCTGTTCACGGTCAAAGTTCTCAGATCCCAAAGCAAAATGACATACCTCATTTCCGTACATCTACCCACGCCCGTTTGGACCGATCTGTTCAACCTTTTGTGTCATGTAACCACTCACTTACCCTTTCACCCACTCACCCGTATCTTAAAGATAGAAAACAATACACTTACCTGCTCTCCTCTCCCATCCAGCAACCCCCTCCCCCTCATCCAAACCTGCGCAAAACATCCGCAAAACATAAAAACATTGGTTACTCAACCCACACACATCTAACAAGCAACAAATTCCCCTCTCTGAAGGCTAGGTTGCAAGTCTCCTTGTGCGAGCAGTATACTTGTCTGTCCCCCAACCTAGAGGGCCCCCGCGCGGAGGGGGTGATTTACTTCGGCGCATGGGTAAATGATCAAATCGCTGGTACTGGTGCGAACATCCGGGAGATGATTAGGTAGTAGTGCATCTGCGTCCCGACGCGCAGAGAGGCGTGATAACAAAAATGAAATAACATGTGAGATGGTGTAGATGGGGGAAGGGGGTTGGGCGCGGGAGGTGGAGCTGTGAGATGCTTGGCTGGGTGACTGGGTGGTTTGTTAGCATGGTGGTGGGAGAGTAAAATGTTGGGACAGAGAGGGGGGAGTGGGTGAATGGGTTCTGAGTGGCTGACTGATCGGAAAGAGAGCGAGAGAGGTAAGATGGCAGAGGCTATATCTATAGAAGGACTGGGTTTGCTATCAGGCGGTTTGCATGATCAGTTCTGCGTGCCGGATCTAAACAATCGTTATTCCTGCTCAAACTTGAGAATTTACCCGCATGATCGATACAGCTTATTTCTAGTTGCCACCAAGAACATGCTGAGGTCACGCTCATGTACCCCACATTCACAGTCAACGCAAAACCTATACAGTAACAAGATCACATTTTCCTGCCTATCCTACTCTGGAGCCTCCACAGCCCATGGTACTATATCTCTCAATACGCCAGTCCCTTGAACGCTAATGCAGGAAACCAAGAAAAACATCAAACACCGTGATATCGTTTGATCGAGCACAGAGAAGTACGTAGCTTGCGCCCGAGCAATGTCGATCTGTACAGACCCAAGTACGCACGCATCGTTCTTATAGACCTCGGAATCGAGGACCCCGCTTGGACGGCGGGAGACTCGCAGCCAACAAAGCTTCGATGCCCTTCGCTTTCGCCGCCTCTCTCGTCTCTTTCGTCACCACTTCTTCAAGCACGCGTTGTTAGCAAAAGTGCCAACAAGTCAAACAAGAAAGAAAAAAGGGAATCCCCGAGTTACTCAGGGATTACCTCTTCTTACTTCCAGGCCTGGGCTTGCACTCATCTCCCAGAATGGGGTGAAGTTTGATCTTGATGGGGTAGTTTTGGGTATTTCCACCGTAGCCCTTGCTCCAGTCGTAGCTGACGGCGTAGGCGAAAATGTTTCCGTCCTTGCTGAAGCCCGTCGCGACGATGCTGCCGCCGACTTCGGGGTAGCCCTTAAGACGGTGCTTGGCGTCCTTGTCCCAGAAGTGGAAGGTACCGTCGGAGCCGGCGGTGGAGAAGGTGCCGTGTTGCGGGTGGAAGGAGATGGCGTTTACGGAGTGGACTTTTGCGATGTCGCGGTTGGCGGGGTCTTGCTGGCGGTGGCACTTGAAGGAGAAGTTGAGACTAGGTATGAGTTAGATGGTGTGGTGGGATGTGTAGACGTGGAAATGCTTACCTGGTGTCCTTGTCTTCGACGTATTGAATAGCGCATCGTCCTTCGATGGAGCCAACGGCGAAGCCGGTCGCATCTGTGAAGCAGCTCACGACCCTTGTCTGCCACTTGAGAGGACTGGTGATGGTCTTGTAGATGGTTGTGGGGTTCGAGAGGTTGACCATGTGGATGTGGCGCTCGGCGGTTGCGATGACGAGCAATTGATCCTTGATATCCATGCTGTAGACGCGCTCCTGGCACGTCAGAGTACCGACGGGTTCGGCACCCTGGAGGTCCCAGAACTTGACGGTCTTGTCCCAGGAACCAGTCGCGACATAGTCCTTGCCGCCGGTCTGGAACCAGCGGACGCACTTGATGCCGTTCTCGTGGGCCTTGGCTTGTTGTGCAGGGACGGTGCCGCTGGCGGGGGCAGTGCGGAAGTCGACAATGTTGAGCATGCCTGTTGAGTCGCCGGCTGCTATACGAGTACCGTCCTGATTATGTTAGTATTCGGACATGGCTGCCAAACATGTTGCTAAACGTACCTTCGACCATCCGAGACCCAGAACATGACCCTGGCATTCGAATATCCACTTTCCTTGCGCGCCATTGCCGTTGACCTCGTAGATGTAGACCTTCTTGTCCCAGCTGCCCACGGCGAGGAAGTCGTTCGTCGGCGAGAATTGGAGGTCGGATATGCTGTCGCTGGGCACTTGGCCGGCCGGGACTTCGACGTCTTTGCTGGTGTCGCCGGTGGTGGAGCTAGCAGATGCGGCCGGTGCGGCCTGACCGAATAGAGCCATCTCTTGTGATTACGTCCCTGTATCTGGACGCGTTCGAAGTGCGGGTGTTGGTTGTTGCGAAGCTTTGCGCGAGGTTGCGGTGTTGATCCCAAGCTCAGACGAGAAAGTAATTCGTACGCGCTCGTCTGGAAGTTTCCAGTCACGTGGAGGTATTTCGAGACTGGCAGCAGTGAATAGGGTTGCTACGCGCGCAGCAGACCAGATGACTTTATGTTCTTCACCGACGACGCGCTCAGCAAAGAAACAGGCGCACCAAAGCTCTCCAGGCACCCTTGCAGGCGCCAGTCCGCTTCTGCCTAGCGCGCCTAGCTCGGCCCCCGGCCTCCGCCCCATGTTAAAAAGTTTCCGTCACCCACCTCTTTCTTCTTCCAACGTTCCTCGCTTGAAGAATCGCAACGAAGCTTACGCACAGAGCGCCCGCAAGGGTGTCTCGTCTCGCGCTTTGGGAGAAAGTCCCCGGACAACGATCTTTCGCGATCGCACTTTCAGCAACGAACCGCCATAGAAGCCGCGGCTTCCACTACCGACTACGACTCTTTCCGCGTCTCTTTACCCGTTCGCACTCCCTTTTGGTTGGCTTTCTGAGGCCGTGGGTGGAGGGGCTGATACCTGGATGATGACATGAGTCCGTTGGCTTCCTTGCTCACGTGCTGAGGTTCGCTGCAATACTGGGAGGAGGAGGGAGACACCGGGAAGCGCCAGGTATGGAGGGTCTTCTCGTCCAGTTTATGGTTATGCGATTGCCTTCCTGCACTTTGGTCAAACAAGGTGTCACGGATGGTAACTCAATGGGGCTTATTCTTGAGGCGAGGAACGTTCATTCACCCACACACTTTTCGGATCTGAGGGTAGACGCTCTCTGACAACGGTCGGAGTTGATGGGCTACTACGCGCTTGGTCGAACAAGCCAGATTCATCCAGCCATACACGGTTCATATGATGAGACAAATGGAAATAGAGTCAAGCTCTGAGGCTGTGTAATCCCAAAGTGGTATCACGGCCTTTGCTGAATTTTCTACGACGGTATCTGATGAACCTTATGGCTTAGATAGTCATGAATTGAATAAAAATATTATCACATCACTTTTTGCATCTCTTCTCATTCTTGACTCTTCTGTGGTATCATCTGTGAAGCTTTTCATCCTCTTGCTGGTCTTCAAGCCTCGGTGCCAACAACAAACTCCTTGACCTCCTTGTACGCCTTGTCGAGGTCGTCGTTAATCACAATCTTGTCATGCGGCGCCTGTCCACTATGCGCAAACTCCATCTCGACCTTGGCCTGGTTGAGTCTCTTCAAGATAGCCTCCTCCTTATCCGTCGCGCGACTCCTCAACCGCTTCTCCAGAATCTCCATGGACGGCGGCTGCAAGAACAAGAACCTTGGGCGAGGGAACGTAGGGTGGTTTGCGACTTGCTTAACGCCCTACAATCAACACTGTCAGCAAAGATGCGCTTTGTACCAAACAGTGGGCAAAGACTTACCTCCATCTCAATATCCAAAATACAAATCTGGCCCTTCTCGGCAATGTCGTTCACAGCCTTGACACTCGTACCATAGTGGTTCCCACCAAACTGCGCATGCTCCACAAATCCTTTCTTCTCTACCAAATCCAAAAACTCTTCTTTGGTTACGAAGTAGTATTCCTTGCCATCTTGCTCCTCTCCCCTGGGCCCGCGCGTGGTGTGCGATATGCTGAAGCCGAATTTACCAGGGAACTCGTCGAAGAGGCGCTTTAGGATGGTGGATTTGCCTGCGCCAGAGGGCCCGGAGATGACGATGGGTTGGTTGGCGGAGAGGGCGTCTTTGGAGGCGGGGACGGGGTCGGTGGGCGCCATGTTGGAGGGGTGGGTGGTGAAGGTGCGGATATGTGTGTCGTAGCTGGGTTTTGTAGGGAGGGATGGCAACGAGGAGTGAGTCAGGCGTAGATGGGAGGGTAGCTTTAGGCTGCCGCTTCGTGACTCTTTCAACAAGATTCTGGGGAATCGCGAGAGAGTCAATGGCATGCCTAGTTGTGGATGGGGAGCTGTCGGGCGCAGCGGGGTGTGATTGGCGGTCAAGCTAGGGGTCCTCGTTGGTGTTTGGTGGGGCTCAAGTGGGATGGTCGCGTTTTCGTGTTGCCCGTACTGACGACATCGAGCTGGAATTTAGCTCTCAGCTCCAAACTCCGCGCATTTCACGATAGTCGCGCCCAGAACACAGGTTGTCGGAGCTGCAGATAAGTCACCATGGTATGCACCTTCTGTATTACCCCCAACACCAATCTAACACCTCATAGTCGAAACAATACCTCACCCTCCACACGGTCGACTCGGCGCATCCCAAAGCAAGCGACGTCTTCGCCGTAGCACCAACAAGCACACAACTACTCTCCGCCTCAGGCTCAAGTAGCATCAACGTCTACGACACCACACAAGCCGAATTTCCTGTAATACAAACACTCGACAAAGCGCACCCACTCGGCATACACCACCTAGTAACCGCACGGGAAGAGAAGGCACGACGGGCCGCGAGCGCAGGCTTCGAGGGCAAAGTCAAGATATGGAGTCAAGACGAGGAGGGCGTGTGGAGTGAGGATGGGGAGATTGTTGGTGGGTACGCCTCCATGCTTTCTTTGGGATCGCAGGAAGTGGCGTTGTTGAAGGAGGAAGGAGCTGACAGCTTTGACAGACCAGAACAAGCCCGGTGAGATATGGGCCATTGCGCTGAGTGCAGATGGCCAGTACCTAGCCAGCACGAGCATCAACGGCAAGATCAACGTCTGGAGCCTCAACAAAGACGAGGGTATGCCCCGGATACGCGAGTACGAAACAAAAGGTAGCTTCGGTCTATCTGTAGACTTGGTACGTCTCCCTCCCTTCTCCCTTCTCCCACCCCACCCCGTCAACCTCCTACTAACCTACCCACTCACAGTCCCGCAACGGCACATACACAGCCTCCGGCCACGAAAACGGCTCCATCTACGTCTTCAACAACGAAACCGGGCGCCTCGCACACTCCCTCTCCGGTCTCGTCCACCCAGTTCGCGCCGTATCCTTCTCTCCCGCGTCAAAACTACTAGCAGCAGGCGGCGACGCACGTATCATCGCCCTCTACGACGTCACATCAGGGGAGCAAGTCGCAAACTTCACTGGCCACGGCGGGTGGGTGTTGAGTCTGGATTGGAGTGATACGGGCGAGTATCTGTTGAGTGGGTAAGTCATCCTGCATACTCATACCCATACCCATCCCAACAACCGCACACCATACTCCCTACTTTGTTCTGGAGGTTTGGTACTCCGGACATGTTGCTAACATAACTACGTGAACAGATCTCACGATTCCAAAGCAAAGGTCTGGCGCATAGAAACGCGATCCTGTGTAGCCACGCATTCTCACGGCGATAAACCGCTCTGGAGCGCAAAGTGGTTGCCGAAAGCGGCGGGAAAGAGTGAGATGTTTGCGTTGGCTGGGGGGAGTAACTCGATTAGCTTTTACCGTGAGGCTGCTGGTTGAGCGGGAAGGCTCGATATCGACAGGTGGTGAAGAAGAGAGGGGATATGAGTGCTTTGCTGCTAAGCTCTGAGGGGGGGTGAGATGCAGAGAAAGCGTGTGACATGCAAGGGGTGTCGAGGGATACTGGGCAGGATAGCTGGAAGCTGAGTATGGAGATGTGTGTGATGGTATCGTCGAGACTAATGAAGGCAATGACTCTCAAACTCTTTCCTTGGATGCGTTCCTTTTACGCAGAGTCAAATCACATCTGTATCGGTGCATTCCCAATGAAGCCCGAGAAGCAGCAATCCTCAACACAATCATGTCCCTGTAATGGTTGGTATCAATGTATCAGATTCCTCAACTCTTCTCACGACAGAAACGCTCATTTACACTATCCACTCCCAAGAAATGATAATCCCGAAAGACATATCCCCGCTAAAACATAACCGTCTCATCACCCTTTTCATAACGCCAAAACACCCTGGTCTTACCACCAGAATAACGCCCTGTCCACTAACACAGCAGTACGAAAGCAGCCTGTTGATCTCCACTGGTACCTCACGTACTAGCAACACCGCCATTCTCCACCCCGGGCGGCGCATCAACCCTCTGTTTCTTCGCCTCGGGCCCCTCACTCCCCAAGCCCCCATTCCCATTAACACCTACATTGCTAACATCCTGCAACGCGGCTCTTTCTCTCTTCACACCCCCGGGACCACCACCAGCACCAGCAGCAGGATTGCCATTACCAGGCCCCGCACCGTTGAAGGTAGGCGGCTTGTACTGGCCACGATTCGCACTAGGACTCATGGCGTAGTTTGGCCCACCGGGCATGCCAATGCGGCGATCAGCTTGCATGTGTGGGTTTACGACGTTGGGGCGGTTGAAGGAACCGTTTGATGTTACGCCGGGTCGTTGGGGTGGTGGTTGAGGGGCGGGGGGTGCGCCGACGGCGTCGCGTTTGATAGGTTTGCTGGCCCCGTGGTCGACGCCGGGGGTGCGTTTCTCTTTCGGTATGGGCGAGTCGGCGTTGGGGTTGAATGATGGGAGGTTGGTTAGGGAGGCGGAGTCTGAGGCTTGAAGGAGCTCGGCGGCGCGGGAGGTTACGAAGCCTACGGGGGGTCGGTGGTTGGGCGGAGGTGCGTTTTGAGCGGGTGTGGTCGTATCTTGGGCTTGTGGGACTGGTCGTGCTTGGTTCGGTGGTTGTTGTGCTTGGGGTGGGGTTGGTCGGAGAGGTTGGTTGTTAGGAGGGGCTTGTTGGTTCTGGGGCTGCTGTCCTACGGGTCTCGAGGCAGCACCGTTGTCTATTGCTGGTGGGGCCATGCGACCGCCATTCTGCACCGGCCAAGGCTGCTGTTGAACAGGAGTTTGTGGCTGTCTTCCGTTCTGCATGTGAGGGGCAGGCCTACCGGGTGCCTGGTTTGGTTGCTGTTGTTGCACACCAGGTTGGCCACGTCCGGCTTGTGGAGGTCTGCCGTTGGGCTGGCGAGAGGGTCCAGTGTTGCGGACAGGTGAGGTGCGACCAGACGATACACCATTTGGTTTCGCTGGCTGTATAGCACGCGGTGCTGCTGTCTCCGGGGCGGACAATGTCTCTGACAATGAGAGCTCGTCGCCATGGCCCTCTGAGACATCAACTCCATCGAACAAGTTCTCATCCGCATCGTCGTCAAAGTCAGCCCCGAACGACTCGTTGTTCAGGTGATCTGTACGCGTGCGAAGGACCTGGTTGGGTCGAACCGGTGTCTTGTGCGGCTCCTGTTTGACCACAGCTTGCTCCTCAGGTTGGGGTGGCGGTTTGAAATCGTTATGTCGGTAGAGATTGTCCTCCTGGAATTTGATTGGTTTGACCTTCATAACCTGGACCTTCTTGAGATACTCTTTGTCGTATAAGCAGTTGCCCAGGACATTGCCGAACGTGCGTAACGAGCGCTTCAAGCCATCTGTTGCCGCCTCTTTCTTGGCCTTTTCGAATGATGCTGCTTTGCCTTTGCCGTTCTCTATCGAGCCGTAGCCGATGTCCTAACGCGGTATTAGCAAGCGTGAGATGTAAAGAGCGACCTCATTACCTCGTGATATGTGCCATCCTTCAACGTGATCCTCACTACTATCGAGAGACCCAAGCTGACCTTGCCGTTTTGATGCTCGTCGACCTGTCTTTGTCAGTATGTATTTGCCTCTCAGATAGACCAAAACATACGTAATCGATCTGCACCTGCCCCAGCGAGCTCGACCATCCATTGAACCCAAAGACTTCATTCGCAAGCGCTATCGCCTTGTTCCCCTCCAGGTACGCCACCTTACCACCGCCATTACCCGGCCGTTGCGATATGTATTCCGGACCGAGTTGTTTATTCAGCCGACTCTGTAATGTCGCGATTTCCTTTGCTGTGAAGCCGTTTACGACGCGTTCTTCGAAGGGATTCTTGACGTTGCCGCCGTTGTATTGGTCGCCTGGCCTGCATCGTTGTTAGCGGACTTTGTTGATGTCGGGAAACGGTGCGTGAGGAACGCGTAGAAATTCTGTACGTACGCAGGCATTGTTGTTGTTACGATGTGGTGGGCATGGGTCGCCGCTTTGCTGAAGTCGAGGCGTCGTGGCTGAAGATGACGCGCCTTGGGACGGCAGGAACGCGGTCGCGCTAGTCCCGCACTCACGTGCTCTCAAGGCAGCATCGACCAGACCCACCCCGAGTGCAGCACTAGCAAACCTCAACCAGGCTTCAGCCGCCTGAAGTCTGCACATACTCAAGTAAGTGGAGGCCTCCATATACTCAGTATGTGGACATCCACGTGAGAAGGGGCAATAATTAGGTATGCGCGTCACCATGATCCAACCATCGTATACCAAGTATATGCTGGCAAGGCAAAATAATGTAATTTCGGCACCCAATACGCCTGCAATGCTATAATCCTATCCTAGTATATTTGTGAAGCGCCGTTACAAACACCCCAATCTATCACGAAGCTTCCTTTCTCCTACCCCGATCGCTCGAGCTAGCCTCCTCATCATCACTATCAACGCCCAAAGAGAACGTAGAGTCATTGTGCGGCTCTCGCCCCTTCTCCGTGCCCACGCTCGCATAGCCATTGCCCGGCTTCTTTGGCACTTCGTCGAGATCATCGAGCTCCCGTTCGTCGAAGTCGGCAGCTTCAAGATCTTGCCTGCGTTCTTTTCTGCGGAAGTTGTCGAGGCCCATACCGGTGAGAAGAGACTCGCGTCCTTCGTCATTGTCGGTGCCCTTGTAGGTGCTGGTTGTGCGCCTGCTGCGCCACCATAAGAAGCCGCAGAGGCAGGCGACGATGACGACAACGACGAGCGCGACCTGGCCGGAGCGAGCGTAGGCCTTCCACTCTGCCG